CTTTTCCCGCCTGCGGCCTGATCAGCACCTGGGATCACACTGGGGCTCAGGCTAGGTGTTGTCTGGAGTGTGTGAGCTGAGCGGGGGCATGAGGGAGGCTTTGGATGTAGCAGCAGCCACCTTGGACTTGGCGTGCAGCACCATGGAGAGCTGGGATGAGGGTGAAGCACCTCCCACGAGCCACCTAGAGGCCGGTTGTAGTTTGAGGCCACTTGGCTCTGAATCCCACCCCACATCACACACCAGTGTTGGCCACAGTCTTGCACAGAATACAGTTCTCAGGCCTCATGTCAGGGATGAGGAAAGAGGGGTTCCCTGGTCAAATAACTTTGGAGAACATTTGGTTAAACAGGTTTCTTTATTGTTGATTTTCTTAACCCTCACTATGCAGATGTCTTGAGCCAGTGCCCCAGGAGGGCTGCTTTTTCACAAACTGATTCAATCAGAGAGCATTTTATAGGAACAAAACAAAACATGTGGTTGACAGAATCTGGATCAAATAGTTGGGGGTCTCTCTAGAAATCTCTGGTGGTAGTTTTCCCTTCACTTGTGACAGACAGACTGGGCTGGGAATTCAGGCAAGTTACAGAAGCCTCAGTGCTCTGTCCCCTGCTCATTCCCCAAACTTGGGTTTCAGCTGGCTGAGCAAAGTCTGCTTGTCCAGTGACAACCAGAAGCAGTTTGATAGGAGCCAGTTAAGAACGCCGGCTGAGGCTTCTGGGGCGAGTGTGGAGCAATCCTCCTCGGAATGGGGTGCGCTCGAGTTGTCCTTTTGTAATGTCAGTGCTAATTTGCAGCTCATGAACTTCGGCCCTCCTGGAGCCCAGCGGAAATTAAATCTGTGTGACCCTGGTGCTTTGTGTCTTTGGTGGAGAACTGACGGAAGCTCATTGCTACATTTTAGTTAGTGTGGTGTTTGGGTTTGTCATAACCGCCAAACCATCCATGAGTGAGGGTCCTGGTGGGTCCTGACCTCACCGGTCCTAGCGACATTTCATCGGCTCTGACTTCTTGTTGAGCGTCCGTTATGTGTGCGGCTCTGAAGGTACCACGGTCAACATAACAGAGGCTGCGCTCTTCTGGGGCTCATGATCCAGGGGTAGATGCTGCCAGCAAAGAGATGAACAAATAACCCCCCACAAGCTCCAGGCCATGTGCACAGACACACCCATCGCTTTTTATCAGGTGTTTGACCCCAAGGTTTTCTGCCCCTGACTCCTGTTCCCCATTTTTCCTGTAGAGCCTTGCACAGAATAAGGGCTTAGTAAATATTTATGTGAGTACACAGCAGCTAGTGTACATGTGTGAGGACCTGCAGAGGGGGTTTAGTTCAAACATTTATTGGATGGTTCTTTGTGGTGTGCACTGGCTGCTGGGCTGGGGTGCAGAGCTGTTTTGATGCCGGATCCGTGGTCTCTCAGCCTCCCTGACAGGTAGCCTCGTTGTGACCCATGGTGGGGAGGAAGCCAAGAGCATGCCCTGGGGGCACCGGGGGCAGGTATGTAGCTCAAACTGGGAGCTTCCTGAAGGATACGGTGCCCGTACCTGAATGAGTGTTGGCCACAGAAGAGAAGGTGAGAATGTGTTCCGGGCAGAAGGCCAGAAGTATGACAGAAGCACGGGGCGTGCAGGGGGCAGCGGGCCTTTCGGTGCCACCATAGGGGTCAGGCCAAGGTGGCCTGTTGGAAGGAGCTCCGACCCTAGTCTGGGGGAGCGGTGCTGAGTTTTAAGTGTGGGTCTCACACCAGTGGTTCTGGCTGCTGTGCGGAAGCTGGATTGAAGAGAATGAGAACAGAGGTGGAGAAAGGAGGGTCTTAACTACAGTAGTGGTGGCCTGCAGGCAGGAGTTAGTGAGGGAGTCTCTGCGTGGGTCTCACCCAGAATTCCAGTTCTTCGGGAAGCTGCTTTCAGAGCTCGGACCCCATGTCCCTTCCGTGGCCTCCGTCTGCCCCCAGCTGAGCACCGTGCCCACTTGCAGTGTCACTGTTTTTCCAGCAGATGGGATTTTCCCAGCTCCGGCCTGGACCCTGCCCTGTGTCTTTGTCCTGCCCCAGGGACCCAGAGGCAGCCCGGGCTTCTCAGGTTTGCCCGAATCTCTGCAGCCCCTTCTGGGAGCCTGCAGATCAGCCGACACAAGAAAGCTCTTCCCCTACCATCCAAATGGTTCTCCCTCTGTTCTCGTCCTTTTTCAGTGGCCTTCCATCCATTTCTCCAGTACCTCCTTGCCCTTACTCCTCCCTCCGTCCGGTATTTATTGATGCCAAGTACTGTTCTTGGACCACGGGGCAGCCAGGGAAACGAGGCGTTCTCCGATCTCATGGATTTGATGTCATAGTAGGGGAGACGGCATAAACCCATAAATCCCTAGTGTATCTGGTGGTGGTACCTCCTGTGAGAGAAAGTGTCTCTGCTTCACTGTGAGGCCAGGCAAGGTTTCTTCTACAGAGTATAGTGTGTGTCTAATTAAGTCTACAGTGGCTAGGCCTCGCCTCTCAAGCTGGAGTTTGTTCGAGAAAGGACAGAAACAGTTAAGACAGGCTTAAGCAAAAATCAGCATTTGTTGGCTTAACTGAAAAGTCAGTGGGGGTGGGGTTAGCTTTGAGCAGTGTCTCCAGGATTCAGTTTCCTCCTCCATCTGCAGCTCTGCTTCCCACTGGATTGACTCTGCTCCAAGGTCCCTTTTGGTGACATGACTGCTCCCAACCCCAGGGTTACCTCCCACCAGCCCTGCTGCCCCAGCAGAAACAGAGCACCCTCTTCCCCAGGAGCTCCAACGAAAGTCCTAGACCTGAGTCTCATTCACTGTCAGTGGCCTGGCCTTACTCACATGCCATGGTGTCCCCTGGGGCAGGAGTATGAAGTACTCTCCTCTTCAGACCTAGAGCCAGGGGCAAAGGAGAGATGGTCCCCTAAAGAAATGGGGGGCTGGAAGGATGCTGGGCTGGCCCAAACTCCCAGCTCCTTCCCGTGTGCCTTCACTCTTTGCAGCTGGCTGGGAGTCGAACACAGAAGTAAGCTTCAGGCCTGGATCTATAGCCCCGGATGCTGGGCTCATGGGGTGAGGGGTAGGGCTGGAAGCTCTCTGGGATTCCCCGAGGCAGAAATGGTGTGGATCAGCCGCTGCTGTCCAGAGTCCCTCCTGCACCCCTTTGCTGTCATTTATTGTCTGGCACAGGCACTTTCATTCCCTCCTTCATCTGGGGGTGACAAACAGCACCAGCCCCGGTGTGGGGAGAGGGCTGCTTAGGGAACCACGGAGGCCTCGTCGGCAAGCCTTCCGCCCCCCACCCTCCTCCCTTGTAGTGCTTTGGTCTCATACAGGTCGTTTACCCCAGTGTTTGCCTTGGGTTGTGCGTGGTGAGGACTATCACAGTGAATCAGACTCAGGGACTCAGGTGCGGCATGGCTTCAGTGTGCACAGCGGAGGGAATGGCTACCATCACTGGGCTGTTGCCCCAAAGTCAAGACCGGTATCTGTTCTACTTCTCCAAGGAGTGGGAATTTGGTGTGATGGGAGTGGCACCGTGTCCTTTTGATTGTCTCAGTCTTGGCCCTCTTTCTCCTCGGACCTCCTCCCCTCCCCGGCTTTATTGTGGGTGATCGCCATTCCCTCCTAACTGGTCTGTCCATATTGCCCCCTTCTCCAGGCTGTTCTCTCTTTGAACCTGAACCCAGCTCCTTCTACAGCACTTCCCTGAATCCTTAGCATGGTGATCATCTGCCCCCAGGATCCCTGTCACTTTTACAAGCTGTATTTTCACACCTGCCGCTCCCTTCCGGGCTCTTTTCTTTGGACTTCAGCAGCCACCTCTTCTCAGGGACATTTCCCTGACTCTAGACTAGCCGCTCTGACCAGCTCCCCACACGAGTGCACTCACAAACCAAAGATCCTCTCCCCTCCCACGGAGCAGTCATGCTGGGTAAAGCTGTGTGCAAGTGCAGGTTCCTGGTAATCTTGGCTTCCCAGGACTGAGGGCTCCATGACAGCAGAGCGGTGCAGTGCTCCCCAAATTTGTGATCCCCCTTGCTTCCCATCCACTGTCTGCTCTCAGGACTTTGAATGCTAAAGGGGACCCTGGGCGCACCCCATAGGATTCATGCATGGACCCAGAACCACCACACCCAACCTCAAGGCAGTGAGGCAGGCAGCATCTGGGCCTTCCCCCAGGTGAAGGTCATCCTCCTCCAGAATCCCCCAGCTGGCAGCAGGGGCTCCCCGAGCTGCCCTCCACCCAGGGGCAAGTGGCAGAGGGCTGTAGATTTGGCTGCCCCTGGATAGGAGACAAATGGGGCTGCCTGGGAACAACAGGTGGCACCACCCTGGGCTTGTCACGTGACAGAGCATTCCAGAGAGTTTCTTCAACAACCACTGTGTAAGATGGACTCAGATTTTTCTCAACTCCTTAAATTCTTTTTTTTAATGGGTAATCTCGCTTCGAGATCCAGGTGGAATGTCAGGTGACTCAACCAGGGTAAGCTCTCCAAAGAGCATGAGCTCTGTGGGCAGAGGTTGCAGTCTGGTTATCCCCAAGCCCCCGCTGGCCTAGATGTTCAAAAAACCTAAACTAGTCTCCAGAGTTTGAAATTGGGGACATGCCCCATCTGACATCTCTGTGCCTCGTTCCTGCAAGGCCACAGTTGGTGGCGCCGAATCCGAATGGTGGCAGCGCCTTTGATGCCCCGCGGCCCCCCGCACTCCCCGCCTTCCCCGCCCAGTCACGGACATGGCTGTTCTAAGTGAGTCTTGAAGCCTTTTTCTCGGTGTATAATATGCACACAGAAGAGTGCACATACCCTAACATTAGGTGTCGGATTTTCACAAACAACACGCCCACGCAGCCACTTCAAGAAACCGTTTTCTAAGTGATTTGATGTTCTTTGGAGTTATTAGTTTTATATTGGGTTTGTTTTTTGTTTTTAACCTATTACAAACAAAAGTAGCTTTGTTTACTGTATGACTATAATGTTGGGGGGAAAAAAACCAGTTTTTCTTTTTGCAGAAAAACCTGCCATTGCTCCGCCCGTCTTTGTGTTTCAGAAGGATAAAGGACAAAAGGTAAGGGGCTGGTATGTTCTCTCTTCACATTGTTTACTCTAATTTGTTTTCTCCCAGAGGGCTCTCCCAGGTTACATGGCCAAGGGTGCTTCTATCTTTTAAGCCTCCACACGGAGCTTGAAGAGAAAAGGTCCTGTGGCTTTAAGTTACCATGGTGAGAGGTTAAGACGGGTGTGTGTGGAAAGGGCTCAGAAACCTTGCTTTTAACAGTGGCAGAAAGATACTTTCTAATTCCTAATGCTTCATTTTAGAAATAGTGTACATTAGAAAGAGTAGGAGAGAAAAGGTAGAAGGAAGGAGGGAGAATAATGGTGGTTAAGGGGGAAGACAGGATCTTTAAAGATTTTAGGGAGATATTCTGACCCCCAACCAACTTGGCATAAATGCATTTAGAGTAATTACTAGTTGGCTTACATTATGTATTACCATCCATCTTTATTACTCGTTGCTTCCCCCTCTTGGATTTTAAATGTCTTGGTTGCCCTGACGTTGGAAATACTTTGCCTAACTCGTAGCAGTGAGCTGGCAGCTTGTTCAAGTCCTGATCGGTGTGGCAGTAACATTCCGATGTCAGGTGCTGCCGTTTACCTAGAAGTCGTTGATTTTGTGTCTGTCCTGACAAATCAGCGTGGAAGGTCGGGATTGTGTCCAAAGTTAGTTGATGTTCTGTGGTTGATGTTTCCCAAGCTTTTATGAGGATTCTGTTTGTCCAACAAATGGACAGTCTCTCCAACCTCTGCCCCAATCTTACCCATTGCAAGATTTCAGAGTGAGGGACCAAAGTGCCGCGCTGGATTCGGTGTGTTTTGAAATCCGTTTGCATCTTGTTGATAAGAACAGCATTTGAGAGAATGCTCTGGTAGATTCCCAGTCCCCCGGCAGGGTGGCCAGCTCTGAGGTTGGGGGCTGCTGGTCTGGCAAATTTGGGACTCCTGGCAGCCCAGCTGCTGCTCCTAGAGCCCATCCCTCGGTCAGAGAAGAGGCCAGACTTCTGTGTGGCCCACACTGTCCTGGACTGCGTTCCAGTACTGTGCCAGGAAGAGAGCATGTGTGTGTGCGGGGAGCGGGGGGGGAGGTCAGGAGGAAGAAATGGCTGCCCAACACATACCCCCTTTCAGCGTACCTTCTGTGTGAGCCGGGGCTGATCTCCTAAGCTTACCCTCACATTAAACTTTCCCATTGTTAATTCTTTTGCTAAAGAAAGAATCACAACAGCCGAGGAAACATTCTTTCTATTTTGTTTTGGTTTTCCAGGTGGTATTTTCAGGACACATCAGCCTCTGCGGTCTCCTCTTCCATGGGCCCTGACCAGTACATGTAACTTAATTACATGTATTTTTATCATTTGTCTTTTGGAGCTTCAGTCACTGTGAAGGAGCTGATGCATTTCTGCTAGCTTTTAGAAGTGCCTGTGTTCCATTTCTGTTTTAGATATCAAAGTTGATTCTCTCAGGATTTTCTAGAATTTTGAATTTTATTATTACCGTTTGAACCACTTTTAAAGGGGTCAGCAAACTAAGACCTGCCATCACCGCCTGTTTTTATAAATAAAGTTTTATTGGCACACAGCCATGCTCACCCTGTTCCCAGTAGCTGAGGCTACTTTCCCACTGTGACAGCAGAGTGAAGTAATTTGGATGGAGACATAGCCCACAAAGTCAAAAATATTTAGTAGCTGACCTTTCACAGAAAAAGTTTTCCAACCCCAGACTTAAAACAAGTAATAGGAATTGATAATTCTTTAAACCTAAGACTTTCGGACGACCAGCAGGATGAAACACTAAAATGTAATATTTGTTTGGCCGAATTTTTCTGTACTGTTTTCACAGTTGAGGTGGTTCTTGTCTGTTGCCTTGTAATTCAAAGGCTAACTTGCATGTATTACCTCCAGAAGGTTGGGGTGAAGTTGAATCAGAAGAGTAGCTAGGAAACTGCTCATCGTCATCTTAAAATGTGCAAATGTAGTTCTTATCAAAATATTGACTCAGAGCCAACTCTAAATGGGCTTCTAAAAATAACTGATATCCAGCTCTTCAGGGTTCAGCTCTCCGTTCCTGTCATGCCTCTGGGACAACATCACCAGCAGGACACAGGGAACCTCTGCGTGTTTACAAAGGAGGAGCCTCTGTAACTGTCCGCGAGAGCAGCTTTCTGGGCTGCGGGTGGAGATGGAATCTTCCTTTCTTTCTCTGCTGCTTAGGACAGTTCGGAAGTAAGGCAGGGAGCAAGCCGCGTAGCTGAGACAGCCAAGTCCGTGGCTTCCCATTTCAAGGGAGACAGGCAGGCAGAGCTGCAGGGAGCAGCTGTGGCACTTCAGACAGAAACGGGAGTTTGAGCCTCTTTCAGGTCCCGTCTCTCTCACCGACCTCCTGCCCGGCTGCCCCTCACACTGCAGAGGCAGAGTGGGGAACAGGCTACATGGGTTGCTACGGCCGGTCGCTCCTTTTCTCTTCAACTTCATTCAAGTCCTCAGAGAAGTTGAAAGAATGGTACCGTGGACACTTCGGTGTCCCTCACCTGGCTTCGCCAGCAACATCTTTGTCGTAAATGCCAGAAGCGCCCGACTATAAGTGGCGCCCATCTGATGTTTCTCCCCTAGATCCTGCTGTAGGCGGCACCCGGGACTAGGGCCGTTCCTCTCCGTGGCCCCACTGCTATTGTCACTCCTGTGAAAATGATCGCGAAGTCAGAAATGTCCTTCAACATATATAGTCCATAATTATGTTGTCTTAACTGTCACCAAAATGTCCCTTCTAGCTCTTTTTTGAGCCATTTCTCGATCCACAAGGATCAAGAAGTCCCATCGTCAGCTGTGGGACCACTGACTTCCCTTTCAGTGAACAATCTCTAAACCACCCAGTGGGCTGCGCTTCAGAGCTCGTGTCCCTCCTGACAAGGAGAGCACTCCACAGGCCCCGCTGTTATTACTGAATCATGATTGAGGTAAAAAGATTTGAAATCGAAAAGAAAAAAATGAAGCTGTTAGCCCAGGCGTTTTTTGTTTTGTTTTGTTCAGTAGCAAAGCCACATGGCGTTTTCTGTCCTTCCCATCCAGGGCCCAAGTGGCATTTACAGCAGGCTACAGATTGGTGGCGGTGGCCCACCAGTGGCATCGCTTGGTCTCAGGACATGTTGTCAAACCCCTTGTTGTTCCGGGTTTCCGGTTGGAGAAAGCGGTTGTCGGCTTCAACTCCAGTCCTGACGCCTAAAATCCAGGCCAGAGCCCGGCTGACAGTGCACAATTGTCTGTCCTTCCTTCCATGTTCTCACACTTCCTCAAGAGGGCGCTCCTCATAAATTGCTTGCATTTACGCATTTCTGGTTTTAGTGGCAAAAATGAATCTTTTTTTTCTTAACTGCCTTGCATGGAGACAGTTTTTTTCTTTTTGATGTGAAGAGATTTCGAGTCTTCTTAGAAGGTGGTGGTCTCATTGACTCTGACGACTGTTTCTTTCAGATACTTCATCTTCCAAAAGTTTATTCATCTGAACAGGTGAGGCTTTGAGGTCTCCCTTGCAGGGTGATGTCTGTTTGGGAGAAAGAAAGCTGTTGCAGAAATGCTGTTGAGCAGGAAGTAAAGTGTCCCTGAAAGTGCTGTCACAGTATGTTCAGACCTACTTTTGAAGCTTACTGTTGCTGTAACAAGCCCATCCTGTGTGCACGTGTTTGTTTTTGGGTTTTGTCAGCCATGTGTATTTTAGGATGATGTCAGAGGCTGTGAAAATCTTGATGTCCAATTTTAACAAACACGTTGAAGAACTACAGGTCCTATCTTGGTTCTCTAGAGCTCACTTTTCTTGTCCAGCAAAAACACTCAGACCCAAGTAGAAAATACTGGGATGGCATATGTGTTTCTTTTTGGTCCTTCAGTTTAGGCTTCATTTCCAGTGCAGTGCCTCCAGGGCACTTGAACACTTATGCTCTAAAAGCAGGGGTTAAAAAAAAGAAAGTCCTATGTGGTTCCAATTGGAGATAGACCATTTTCCACAGAGCTCTGGGTTTAATTTTCTCTTATCAGGTGTTGGCGCGTGGACCAACCTTTATGTCCTGAGCAGGTTTGAGGAACAGCTTGAGAAGGAAGGCCTTTGTGTGTGTGGATCTCCCCTGGATAGGAAGAATCAATTTTGGTGATTTTTTAGATGTATGGATGAGTTAACATTTTGTTTCTTTTGCCTTCCTCAGCATGTTTGAAAGTTCTCTTAAATTCTCTTTACGGAGTTCCTTTCATCCATCAGGCTTTAAGAACTAGCCCCCAAGCCCTATCTAAAGAGATTTTAGCCACTTCACACTCAGAAGACACGTGGCCAGGTCTGTGGAAAGACAAGGTAGCCACTTAGTTCACAAAGCGAGAAAAATGGCTCCGTGTTATGAACAGTGCCAAGCAGGAGATTTGGGGACCAGAGCCCATCTGTTCCATGACACCAGCTTTATAACCCATTCCTCAAGAAGAGAGTCTTGGCCACAGAGCTCTGGGTCCACGGGAGCCCCTCTAGAGTCCCAGGAACCACTTCGAAGGATGCCAGGGGTGTTGTACTTTTAAGGACAAAAACTTCCAGAACCAGCTTTCTCTTGCCCTGGCTATTTTCTAAATACACCCTTGCCAAGGTGTTTGGGGTGAACATGGGAGAATCCTAGGCCAACTGAACTCCTACCCATGTGATACAAAACCAGCTCTCCGGGTCTCTGCCAGCTGGTTTGGGCACCACACATCTGCACTCACTGAGGCGAGAAAGCCTTTCCTTGATCTCAGGTTTAAGCAGAACGAATTGAAAGGTGCTGGAAGCACTCTAGCAGAATGCAGAAGCCTGTGAACCCTCTTACACCCCGTTTTGTAGCTGTATACTATTCCAGGCCTGCCTTCCCCACCGTAGTGGACAGACATGGTGCTGAGGGCCAACTTCCCTCATCAGTATTCTTGCAGAGATGGGTCATTAACCTCTAGGGATGATCAGACATAGTCGCCCCTGTTCCCCTCCAGTAGAGGCTCTGCCCCCATTTTGGCCACCAAGAGTGTTGTTCCTCACTCACAGCCTATAAGCCCTGTAGCTCCGTGCTGCCTGTTTTGAAAATGGGGGCCCAGGCCTCCTGCAAAATTAAACCTCAGCCAAGCACGTTCATTTTCCATTCTTTCATTCTGGAGGGCCAGTTCTGTTGAGCAAAACAAAAGCATGTACCAGCTTTCTTGGCTCGTCCTCCTAGGCGGGAGCGGCTGAAGTCTGAGCGTCTCCAGCCCTTTGATCCCTGCCCACCCCCTGTCCCACGTTGCAGCCTTTATTTACATTGAAGGAAAATTGTCTTTTTTGCTCCCAGTCCTCTGCAGAGCAAAAAGACTTGTCGGATTCGGGAGAGGAGCCTCGGGGGGAGGCTGAGGCCCCCCACCATGGCACGGGTCACCCCGAGTCAGCTGGTGAGCATGCCCTAGAGCCTCCTGCCCCCGCTAGCGCTTCAGCCAGCACTCCTGAAGCCCAGCTTCTTCCTTTCCCGCGAGAACTGGCAGGGGTAAGTCCACCTCTACCCAGCACTCCACAGCCTGGGGGGCCCAACCCAGATCGGCCCCTTTCCCTTCGGGTGCCTCCGATTCAGACCCTAAACCACAAGCAGCTGATGAGAACTGAAAAGGTGCTCATGATCTCTGCAGCTCCCTTTAATTCTTGCTGCCAAAAAGTCAGGAAAGATTGAGTCCCCTTTTACACTGAGACTTTCTGAGTGGGGGAATTTGTATACACCCATAGTGAGAAGCTAATCCTGTTTCCTGGAAGAGACATGAGGGGTCAAAAGAGGGATTGAAGAATGGGGTAGAACCTTCCAAATCAAATTCGACCCCCTCTCCGTCCTTCCATTTTTCTTTCTCCTCTCCCTGATTGGGCATTCAGGCTCAGGGTCTTAGAAACACGAGAAGCCCCGATTTCCTTGGTCCAGAGGAAGAGGAGGTGTCTAAGGCAGACTGCCTTGCAAGACCGATTGTGTTTGGACTGTGGTTAGGCTGTGAACCGCTTGTCTTCAATCAAAGCAGGAAGAAGAAAAGACTCTTCCTTTGAATCCAGAGGGAACCCCTTGAGCCCTTTCTCTTTGTATTGAGAAGGCTTTTGAAGATTATAGGTGGAGAAGATTGTGAACTCTCGAGAACAAGGAATGTCTTGAGTGTTTGGAGGTTGATAAAATGGGAAAGGTAAACATCATCCTACATTCAGGATTGAAAACTCCATGTGGGTACCTAAGCCCCCCCCATTCTCGTGGCAGGGTAAAATGGCTCTCAAGCAAGGAAGCAAGGGACCCTGCTCTGCACACCAAGCACTGGGCAGCCATCCAGGGCGTCACAATCCCAGACTTTAGTGATCCCATGTGTCACATCACCAGGCCCCTGTGTTCTTAAGGAAATCATTAAAATTCAGTTACAGCCACTAAACCCTGGGACACACAGGAAGAAGTGATATTCAGCAAAGGTGAGGTTGGAGGCCAATTTTAACATTTGGGGAGGAGTCAGTGTGTGGTGGGAAAAGAAGGAACAGTCTTTACCACGTGCCAGGTGGGAGTGACAGGAGGCAGTCCCTCATGGCACACAAGTGGGTTTGTGGGCCCAGTAAAGATTCCAGCCAGAAGGCACTCACACCAAAGTGTTCTAGGGGCGCAGCCCTCATGAGAGCACTAGAGCTGACAGAGTAAGAATGAGGATGTAATCACTTTTTCGGTTGGGAGCCAAGCAGCTCCTGGAACCTTCTTCTGAGTCGGGTATTATGAGTTATTGTGCCTTCAGCCTTCGCAAACACAGGAAATCATGTTCTCAGTTCCCTGAGTTCCCAGTAAAGATGACCTTCATGTGGAACTGCCCAAGAGGCTCCAGGGCCTTTTGCGGCTGCCTGGTTTGAACAGCAAGCTTATAGAGCAGCCTCTAACTGAAGGGGCTGAGGGTTTTCAGTTGAGACTAGCAAGTGGGTAGGTCACAGAGGTTGAGGCACAGCAGCTGCTCCTCCAGAGGCACCTAGGGGGGTCTCACCTTCTGCTTGTGGCCAGGCCAGATGTGGATTTCTGAGGCCTGGCCATTGGGACTTGATGTCTCAGTTCTTGTGGACTTTGGGTCAGAGGCTCTAATCCCAAGAAATTCAAACTATCCCCAGCCCGGCCCTGCAAGGTCAAGTGTTAACAGTAGGGAACCTCAGGATGGGTTGTGGGTCACTGTGGGAGGAAGTCAAGACTTGGGGGAGCAGTTGATGAATGTACCAGCAGAACAGCGAAGGCCACGCACGTGACACACACATGTGCTATTTCGTTTTAGCACTTGTAACTATAGGAATCCCCAGTTCCATCAGAAGTCCCAGCAGGGCCACTGTTGCATCATTTGGTGACAGCTCTGAGCCAACCAGGGCTAGCACAGAAGACTCCAGCTTGTCACCTCTGGCTGCCATTAACTGGCTTTCTTTAGTGATTGGGCGTGTTCAAGGCAAAGTAAACGTTTTTTTAGGTCAGTTAGGGCATAAATCAAGGCAGATGGATCCCAGCTTCCTCTTGGGCTCAGGTGGTTCTTTGGTTAGCTAGGAGTCATTGCTTTTGCAGCCAAACAGATTTGGATCTTTCCCGGTACCACACTGGAATTCAGGAAACCGCCCACCCTTACCCAGCCAGTCTCGCCCATCACGTTTAATCTGTTCTTAATTGCATGATCCCTCGAGGGTATGTAAAGCTGCGAGTTCTTTATAATAAATAGTGGCTCGCTGAATTGTTGCTTACAAAGGGCCTGCTCGTCTTTCAGTCTCCCCAGACTCTGGCCATCGAAGATTCAGTACCGGGAACAAGCCTCTATATATCAGACTTACTGGCTCTCAGAAGACAGCTTGGAGAAGACCAAACCACATCCAGATTAAGTTCTCTGATCCGGAGAAAGCAGGCAGCTCTTAGTGCTTACTCCAAGCCTGGCTTAAGTCCCCTGGACTGAAGCTCAGAGCCAAAGCCCTGTGGAGCCTGAAATGTGTTTATTAGACCCACCAGGAAGCTTAGACAGGTTCTGGAACCAGACCCCTGGCTGGACAGCTTCCCTCATCTTCCAGTGTCTGCACGGGATTTGACCCTTATTCTGCTCCCACCCAACATTCAGACTTTTGGGGGCCACAGCTCTTTTTCTTTCTTCAGTGTCTGCCTTTTTGGTAAGAACTTCTGAGCTGGTCACCTCAGTAGCAGAATAAACAGCATGGAATTGGCCAGTAGTCCATTTGAAGACAAGGACGAATCAACAGGCTCCTCCCTTGATTGATTTTTCATCCTGGGCATCCATTTTCCTGCAGCCACAGACAGCGGGCTTTATAACCGGTCAGTCCACATTGAAATCACTGAGGCCCAGGCAGACCAAATGGGTGTCTGGCGTGGTCTTGTTTTCTGGTCTTTTCTGAGAAGTCAGGAAGGCCGAGAGTGCTGTTCATTCCTGCTTACTCTACCTGTGTGTCTGTGTGTCAGCTTCTGAGACACAGCGGCCAGCTCCATTCCTTCCCCTGGACTGGCCTAGCACCTTTGTCCTCCTTGAGGCCACACCAGGCAGCCTCATGAGAGCCATGTTCTTTCGGGGCTTTGAGGGGGGCGGTGCGGGATCCTTGATAAATGTAACGATCGTAAATTTTCACTGTTTCATCCTTTACAAAGAACTGAAGCTTCCCACATCTACAGTTTCAGGGTCCCATTCTGGGTTAGACGTTACCACCTGTTTTGTACTTGGCAAGGATGTGCACACCTCACAGAATAAGCAGCTCCCCCCGAGGTTCCTGTGGCTCTGAGGAGAGCGAGATGCCACTCCTGCCGTTCTTCCCACCCATCCCTAGCAGCCACCATTGGGGGGGCTTTGCATCTTCTGTAAACCCACTTCACTCGTTCATGCTTCCTGCCACCAGGGAAGTGAATTGAAGGATTCTCTTTGGGCCTCTTTCTTTTCTGCCTCCTTATGTAAGTGTTGATTTGGGATATGTTCGTCGTGGTGTCCCAAATGGGCACTGACCCCAGTGTCGCCTAGGTATCATCCTGAAGCCCTGATCCTCACAGAGGTGGATTCTAGTGTGGGAAGAGGCAGAGGAGGAAATGGGACATTCACACCTGCTTCTGCCCTGGCTCCTCCCCAAAGAGGAATCCCGGAAGCCTGCCCTTAGAGTTCTCCTCACGTGAGTCCCTGTGGCAGTGGCTTTGGATACAGACTTCCGGGGTCCAAGGAGTTGCAGCTGCAGGGCGCACCCCTATGTGTGTCCCAGCCATTGTTCTCAGCTGATCCGTGAGTGGCCTCTCCCTTGGTTGGGGTGAGGGGCGGAGGCTGCTGTGTTTGCGCAAAGTGTGTGTGGAGCTGGCGTTGGCCTCGTTTTGGGCCAGGGTGGCTTAAAGGGGAGTTACTTCACCCCAGACCTTTCCCTGTGTGGGGAGAAGACAGCACGAGACAGCCAGACAGCAAGCTCAGACCTTCAGCGCAGTTGGGGGGTGCAGACATCAGGCTTCTCCTCACGCTGGCCACTGTTGAGGATTTCTGGAAGAGTCGGCATATCCAAAGGCAAGCAGAAGTGACTTCCTCATACATTGCGTCTCCTTGCTTCCTTGTGCTAGCTCCTATTGAGGAAAGTTGCTGGCATCAGTTTCCTCACTGCTTCTGAGTTGGCTAGTTCAGACCCCACAGGAGATTCCAGCAGCTTCTGGAAGGTTATCCCTGGTGGTATAATTTCCTGTGTTGTCCTCCCCTGGCCTTGGCCTCTTAGCCTTTCCAGGACCAAGAGGCCAGTCACATGCCTCTTAGAAGAGATTTGGGGTGTGGGTTTGAGGGTCTCCTGCATCTGAATCTTGTCTGGCCGGGCACTTTTCTTCAGGTCCCTGAAGGGGCTATGATCAACTCAGGCTCCATTTGTGCAGTGAATACCTGCTGATCGTCTTTTGTGCACAGCATCCTAGGGGTTGTGTGAGCTGTGAGCAGAACAGCCAGACGGACACATTAGATCATTACCAGCTGGTACACAAAACAGGGTAGAGGCCCGAGGGAGGTAGAGGAGCAGCTTCCGCTCGCTGGGTGGTAGGGCAGCAAGTGAGACGGGTTCACCCTGGGGGAGGCTAGGAAAGGCCTTGACGAGGCCACACTGAGTGGACCTGCAGGAAGCACGTCCCAGGCCTGGGGGGGCGGGGCAGGCACACACAGAAGGAATGTTGAGGAAGGAACAATGTTGGCGTGTTTCAGAAAACGGGGGAGACAGGCTGCACCGTGACAGCAAGGAGGGGTGGTTCAGGACAGACAGCGGGGTACCCGGAGGCCTCAGCTCCTGGTCTGGGCCCACTTCTGGGGAGGGGCCCCGAGCACACATCAAACTCTAAAGGAAACTCAGATTCCTGAGAGGTTTGGGGTGTTGTTGGCATAGATAAGAAAGTTACGTGTCTTTAAGACCCCCAAAATACACAAAGCAAAAACGGACAGAACTGAAGGGAGAAGAGACGATTCGGTCATCTTGGAGAGCTCAGCACCCCCCCTTCAGTAGTCAGTAGAGCATCAGGACGGAGGATGGAGGAGAACAGAGAGGGCCTGGACAGCACTCTAAACCCACCTGGCCTAGCGAGCCGTCTGCCCTGGAGAACATCGAGGGCACTGTGCTGCAGAGTGCCCGGGACGTCCTCCAGCGCAGACAGACCATTTGCTAGACCACAAAACAAGTTTTGATAAACTTAAAGTGACTGAAATCATGCCAGGTCTTTCCAGCCACAGTGGAATGCAATTAGAAATCTGTAGACTTCTGGAAATCCACACACGTGGAAATGAGCCCAGCTAGCCAGCAGGGCAAAGGGAAGGTAGGTGTGGAGGCCTCTGTGGGACTGCGGTGGTGGCAGAATACCCTTTTCGGCAGCTGAGGAAACAGGAAGCAGGACGTGTGTAACACAGGGACACGTGCCTTAGCGGCTTCTCTGGGGCCCACTGTGGGCTGAGGGCCACTCCTGGGACTCAAGCTAGTGGGGACCCAGGCACAGGTGACACAGAGTGAGAGGTACAGAGGGGCGCAGGGGGCAGGGGTTCTCATGTGAGAAGCCAGGGAAGAGCGAGGAGAGTGAAAAGCCAGCTGGTGAGGGAGCAGCGTCTGCAAGGCCATTTCCAGATCCCAGGAGTCGCTCTCCAAGCGGAGATCCCATGGGATCCGAGAGGCTGCCACGCGTGGGGTTGGTGCAGCCGGAATGCTTACTGAATGACAGGAGAGAGGCCAGGAGCCACGGGACCGGAGCTGGGAGTGGGCCCAGCCCCTGTGAAGGAATAGGAAGGAGGTACCCGTAGTCTGCGCCTCCGTGATGTCACCCAGGGAGGGGTTGGTCCCAGGAGAAGAGGCCTGCTGTGCCCGCGGCTTGGCTTTGCATTTTCGGACGCCACCCCAGGCCTGAACCCAGTGAAAGGAAAGCGCTGCCGGAGTATGTGTCTCAGCAACACCCCCAGCGCTTCGCCCTGGGCTCAGGACTGAGTCCCCCACCCTGACCCCTCATCTGGCTGCCCTGGGACATGAACCCTCCTCTTGTTATGCCCTTCCCAAGGGCATAACATCCAGCAGAAGCGAGCTTGCTGGGAGAGCCCCCCCCCCAAGTCCAGGTGTCAGCCTTGGCCGGGTGTCGGGTCAGACCAAGGGCTGCCTCACCTGCTTATCTCGCTGACCCCTTCCATCTTCCTGTGGGGGAGGTGCTGGCACCCCCATTTCCCAAGGAAGGAAACCGAAGCCTGGGCGAGGGAGAGGATTTGCCCAAGGTGTGGCTTTAGGAGGTATCGGAGCTGGGAGAAAGTAAGCTCTGCGGGCCTCCCAGAGTGGTTGAGCACCTTCACACTTTGCTCTTGTGGTCCGGCCGCCGGTTTGTGCCCATCTGAGGCCCGCCTGCTTTCCTCCTCCAGTGTTCCACTTCATCTGGGGCCCGGTGGTTATGTTCACGGTCGCCCCGAGGACTGTCGAACCCCTCTTGTGTTAAGAGGGGTTTGTTTCCCAAGCACTTTGATGGATGGCCTCCTCGGAGCCTCCTGAGCACCCGATGCAGGCATGGGGACAGCGGTCCTCCTGGCCCTTTCACAGAGACTTGCAGGGAGCACTTAGAACGGACTTGAGCGAGAAAGGCTTGCATTTCTAACTCAAACCCAAGTTGTGGGCCCACTCGGGAGGAGAGAGTTCAGGTTGGAATCCTTTTCTCTACTGTCTCTTCGGACGGGGTCCACAAACTCCGGCCCTCTGTCTACAAGCTAAGGTGGTAGAGTATGCATGTGGCCCGAGAAGCTGAAAGTCTTCTGTGGCCCTTTACGGAGAAAGTCCTGCCCAGGGCCGGCGCCCCGCTCACAGCCCATTATTTACGTTATTTAGGGCAGTTGCCACCTTTCCACCCCGCCCTGCAGCTTGCAGAGCACTTTCCCAGGCAGGCCTCCTCTAAGCCTTAACGGCTCCTCAAGGCAGGTGGTCCTCGTTTGGCTAAACTTGACCCCTAGGGACTTTTCTGAAAATAAGAAAATTGGCTCCTCTGCTTGCTCGCACGTAGGTGCCCCAGGAGGAGGGATGTTCACCCCTCAACGTTTGCTTCTGGCTGCTCAGTTCTGGAGAGTTGCAAGTCTGTGAGGGAGTGGATATTACCTGGGGGTGGGAGCGGGGCTCATCTTAAGGCTTCTTGATGGCTAGTTGTTCACATTCTAAAACTAAAGGTTGTTACAGAGGAAATTCTTTGGCCACCTTCTGTCTTAGCTTGTGATTTCTCGGTAGGTTGTGTGGTCAGCAGAGTTGTCACGTTGGACGATTATGTTCTGAACACTTTGCAGCAGACTTAGATCCAAGGCATGGAAGTTCTCTGTTGCTCTGGAAGTAATGGTCCACCTTGAAACAGGGTTCTGCGCCGTGGAACTGGCCAGGCAAGGAACAGAAATTGCTGCGACCCGGTGTTAGGCCACATTTTAAATGGTCCTGCTGCCCTCCAGAGTGGAGCGGGTCGCTTGCCAGCTCTTGGCAGAATGAATTTCAGCCAGATAGTGTTTCACTGTGCTTGAGTTGAGGGGGCGGCACGAAGTTAGCTGTGACCTATGGAGAGACAGAGAAACCAGTCTTTGTGCAGTAAATGCATCCTCAGCCTTTAGGAGGACTCCTCGGCCCATGGCCTGGTAAGGCAGACACAGAGCGTTCCTGGGGGGCATTTTTGAGCGTTAGGTTGAAAGTCCGTCCGACCTGGGTGTCTGAGCTCAGGGAGTTGGCCCTCAGCGCTGCGTTTCAGGATGAGTTCATGAGGGAACTCAAGCTGCTGGGTGCTAGCTGGGCAGCCCGGCCCTCGCTCACCGCCCTGCCGTGTGCTCTCATTTCAGAGGCCAGCTGGAGGCTCCAGCCCCGAAGGTGGAGAAGGTGAGGAAATCTCTAAAACGTCTCGTTCTGTTTGGTTGTAAAAGTGGAAGCAGCCTGATTTTCTCCTCCTCCTCGTTTTCTGTAGATTCCGACCGAGAAGATGGAAATTACTGCCCTCCCATCAAGCGAGAAAGAACATCCTCTTTAACCCAGTTCCCACCTTCACAGTCAGGTAACCGTCGCAGACCTTTGCCGAGCATCCGTGCTGATGAGTCCGCCGTCCCCCTGTGGTGCCTCACACTCGGCGTCTGTCTCCTGCCCACAGCCAGTTAGAATCGATCTGAGACTCGGTCTCTGTCAGGAATGAAGCTGGAGGTGCCCCCCTCTGGAATCAGTAATACTTAACAGAGGGTCGTGACCTAGTGGACTAAATTAATTACATGTCCTCCTTCCCAGGTTTGTGGCTGTATCTCTAGACTGAAGGTGTAGGAAGTGGGAAGTACAGTGTCCTCCTGACCCTTCAACCATGTGCCTAGAGCTTGGCAGTCTGGTTGAGAAGCGCAGACACACACACAGTACATATCAAACCAAGTGGCCCCAGAACACACTTTGATGATGGAATGTCAGGAGCCCGCAGAGGAGGAGGGCTTGGTGGAACCTTGAGGGGTGGGCCAGGCTAGGAGCCTGTGGAGGCTCTGGATGGGGCCTTGGCAGACCAGCCCGGGGGCTTGTTAAGAGGACCCGTGCAGCAAAGAGGCAGTTTCCCAGGGTCGAGAGAGTTGTTGGGGCTATTTGGTGGGAGGTGCTGTGATCCCCGGGGACAGCCTTGTAGATTCAAGGGTAAACACTGCCTCAGGGCTTGCCCCCACTCCTCCCGATCTTGACTTGGTCCCCCCTGGCATCATCCATCTACTCCGTCTTGGCTGTCTAGTGCAGACTTAGAGATGCACATGTATTCAGAGAGGATCTCCGGTTACCCAACTTGGCGTTCCTTCTTGGGAGGTTTATGTGAAGCATGTTATACCTGTGAACCTAAAGGACAGCACTTTAAGGGGAAAAGACGCCCTGGAAGGTTGTTTCTGCTTACAGAAGTGATGCAGACGTGACGGGGGGCACCATGTAGAGAGTGAGTGTCCTTTCGAGATCATCCCTGCAACACACTGGATTTCACTCCTGTTTCCCTTAACACTCACTGTGGACATCGCCACACCCTTTCTCATGACTGCTCAAGACCCTTCTGAATGGATACACTGTCCTTTGCTAAGCAGGCCTTGAGGAACCATCAGGACAGTTAGCAGTCGGGCTTGGGGAGCCCTCCTTTTCTCCCTTGTTGCATATGGGTGTTCCTAGGAAACAAGGGAGCTTCTGCCCCGTGGTGATCGTTTGTGCTCCTTCCCGTTCACCGCTCCCTGCTGCGCCACGCCCTGTGCAGAAGGTGCCTCAGAGGAGGAGAGGTGATTTGTGCTATGGCCATAGGCTGTAGGGACAAAGGACAGCCGAACATTTCCCTTCTGCTCTGGCTCACTGGCATAGGAAATAGCTCTCCGGCACCAGGGGTGGAGACAGGAACGGAGCCGGTATCTTGGAAGGCGTGGTCTGTGCCCTGCATTCTGATTCTGCTTAGCTGTGTTCTGTCTACCCGGTTAGTTCTTCAGCTCTGAGGCCCATTGCATTACTGCCTGGCCCACACCCAGGGAAGCAACTGATAAGTGTAAAGTAAGATCCTAAACAGGTGAGGGGCTGGGGGTGCAGCCAACCAGCAAGCCTCTGGCAGGTGACAAGAAGCAGGGCCTGAGGCTTGGAACATCCAGTTCATTCTGCTTCCCTCCTCGCTGCTCCCATTGGGGCCTACAGTGCCACAGAAAAGCCAGGGGCATGAGGACAAGATAGGCGGCGACAGTAGACCACAAAGGCCTGGTTCATAATGCTGAGCCCCCTACAGTGCGGCTTAGAGATCGAGCCTTCATGTGGGAGAGGTGATCGGGTGCGTGTGTGCCCTGCCTACTCACACTGTTTTTCCTCTTGTTCCCTTCCCTGCCCGTACCTCCTTGTCGACAGTATCAAAAAACAATGTTTTTATGCCATCAACCTTCTGCGAGCCATCTGCAGGCAATTCTGACTCAGAACCAGGTGAGCCCTCATGTCCCTTTGCCTTTTACTACCAGTCACTGGGGGTTTTCCTGGGATGAAAAACAGTTGATATTGTAAGATAAGATCTTAAACAGGAATAGGCAATTTGAAAACCGGATTCTTTTTCAGCTCCTAAATGTTTTCCCAAATCTTCAGCTCATAGACTTGGAATCCGCTGTGAGGCAAGCTTCATAAGCCCTTAATTTTTTGTTTCTGCAGGAGGGCCTGGTCACAAGGAGTCTTTAAGGTGTTGGTTGATTTTTTTGTTCTTTGGTTTTCGTGGGTTTTTTTCCCAAAAACAAAAAGCAACTGTAAAGAGGTGTATTGCTTGTTTTTCAAAATTGTACACAAGTAACACGTTCATACCACTTTTTAAAAAAGGCAAATGGGAAATACATAGAGTAAAAGAATCTGCCTACCCCTCTCCCTCTCCCACCCCAAGGTAACTGTGTGAGGTCGATGGAATTTTCCAGATCCCTTTTCTGTGCATTAGAGTCTCACATTAATCAATATTACTTAGACCTGTTCAGATAAATATGTAAGCGTATTTAATCACAGCATATTAAACCTTGAAGTAAAGTAGCTTGCTACCCTCTGAAGACTATGGAGCCTTCCTTTTTTGGTCTTTTGCTAGAGATCCAACTCCAAGGTTTCTTGAAAGTTTCTCCCACGTGGCTGAAATTCCTCATAAAAGAGTTAATGAGCAAGTTCAACTACCCGAATTCTGTAACCCAGTCTGCCTTATATAAATTCATTGCTGACTTCAAAAGCATTGCGAGATAAGTCATACTCTGGCAGGAGGGCAGTGTTTTTATAACTTAGGGGATTGGTTCAATAGCACCATTTCAAACAATAGAATTCATTCTGACTCTGAAAGCAAACTGTTTTGAGCTGACCCCCTCACTAAATCCTGAGGAGAAGTTTGGTGTGTCAGCGTCCGTGGGAACCCCTGGAGTGCTGGCTTAGCAAGTAGCACTGTGAACTGTAGGGGCGGTGTTAGCCGAGGTGATCCTGTTATGGTCTAGGGGGCCAGTCGCTGAAGCAGCACGTCTAGATCGCCTCGTGCTGTCAATTTCCATTACGGATCTCAACATCATCACCTCTAAGATCTGTGAGTGATGGCCTCACTCCCCTCTCTTGCCCCACAAAACCTTTATCCCGCAGCATTGAGAGCAGGGCCGCCCTGAGAAAACAGGGTTCCCAGGCCTGCTGAGGGGCACCGACGCAGCCTCGCTTCCTGGTCCGTGAGGCAGGTTGGAGTCGTATCAGTCCTCTTCTGTCCTTGCCTGTCTGCCTTTTGTTTTTTAGCTTTAATTTTTTTTTGGGGGGGGGGTGCAGACTTTTAACTTATGGAAGAATTTTATAAAGCACTTCCATATCCCTTTACCCATTCGATTTTCCCCAGTCGTCCCAATGCTGTCCTTCATAGCAGAGGGGTCAGATCCCGGATCATATACCCCATATCTCCCTTTCCATCTAGAATACTTCCTCATTCTTTGCTTGATGTTTATGGCCTGGAAGATTACAGGCCAGTGAATTTGGAGAAGTTTGTCCAGTGATTCCTGGTGGTTCTGTCCAGGTAGTGCCTTTGGGGCTAGAATTCCACAGAAGCAAAGCTGTGTTTTTCACGCTACCCTGTCCCAGGTGGCACGTGGTGCTTACCTGTCCTGGTACCTGTGGGGCTAATTTGGCTCACTTGGTTAGAGTGGGCTCTGTCGGTTTCTCCGCTGTGAGATCATCCCCGTTTTTTCTGGAGAGGGAAGCCCATTCCTCTTACTGTTCCCCTCCAGTGTCCGCCTCCACCCATGTTCTCTTGCTCGGATTAGTCATTACTGTGACGATCCATCACCAAAGGCGGGGGTGGGGGGGCGGGTCCTGCCTTCTCTGTTACTAGTACGCTTCATTGGTGTTCTGTAAGAGAGCTATTCTTTCTCCCCACTTAGCCCCTTGTTCTGTTGTACAGCAAGATCGATGCATGGATTCCTGCTTTAGTCAACGGCTTACATTCTGTCATTATTAGTACAGAATTTCTTTTAATTGTCCCAGATTTGGCTAGCGGGAGTCCCACCAAGCAGGTTCCTGTGCCCTTTTGCCACGGCTCATTATTCTTTTAAGCACTTTCTTCTGTCCTAACAAGAGGCTCCAGACTCATCATCGTCTCTCACAGGGGTCCTTCTCAAAGGGCTCCTTCTTTGTGGAGAGTGGTCTCCAGAAACCAAGATCTGCATGCTCAGCAAGCCCACCACTGTTGGGACTCTCACACACCCCCGTACCTATGCACATACCTATGTGTACACGTACACGCATTTCTTTGTCTATATCTGTCTGCATGTGCGGGTAACCCTGGGTTCACATGTATACTTCCAATCCAGCACCAACAGGGTTCACCTGAGCCTCCCTGCTTCTTAATTCTACCTATCTTTCTGACAGAAACCTGGCTCCCTTTGTCTGCAGGGCGTGTCCCATCGCTCTACGCACCCCCTTTGCCCCCGTACATGCCAAGCACCCTCCCACCTGCCCCGGCACCACCCTTGCCCCTGCCCAGCCCCCGCCAGGCTGTCTCCTCTTAGAGCCTTTTCAACCTCTGGCATACACCAAGTTGAAGTTCCCCTGGGGGTGAGCATTGTTTCCCGCAGATGTCACTTGGGGTCTTCCCAAGGCAGGGCAGAAAGCACCCTCAAAGGAGCCCACTTGCTTTAGACGTGATTAGGAGGAGGGCGAAAGCTGCTTCAGAGGGAACCACCTCTTACCCCAGTGAGCTCACAGCGGGGCACGCGTATGCCCTCAAGAAGACACCGGGCCAGTCACTCGTGCACCCCAGTGACCCTGTCATGTGTGCTAGGGCCCTGGCCATCAGCAACAGCTTTTCATTGCACCCAGGTCATGTTGTAGGTAAAGTGAGTTTCTTGAGGCCATGAAAAGAGAGCGTCTATTTTGGTGAAGATGGGGCCTGCAGGCATGCCTCAGCTTGGCTGTCCTGTGAGCACACCTCCCTGCTGCCTTGGGCTCCTTCTGTCCCCAGTCCTCAGTTGCCATGACAGGTGTGGCATGCCTTGTCTGTCTTGTCTGTCATCTGTTCACTGCAGCATTCAGCGTGATTTCTTGTGTGTCTGCGGGGCGGGCCGGGTGCCAGGCCCTGTGCTAATGGATGCTCCGTGGCAGTGATCATCCACGCCTGCACCCCACTGGTCAGCCTAAGCTGGCTGCAGAGGTCAGTTGCCGCTGGCGCTGCTCTGCACAGAGCAGAGAGGTGGAGATCAATCAGTAGCCACAACGTAAGCATTGCAAAGCCAGCTGTAAGGCCTCTTAAAAATTATCTCAATTGTGAATTTCATCTCAATTTTTTTTAATGCTTGTAAATTGCCAGTCATCTTCTGAATAGTCCTGAGCTTTGGAAATGTGATTCAGTATTTCTCTCCTAAAAAGGAACATCTGGCAGCATGTCTTCCCCTGCATCTGTGGTGTCTGATTCTCCTGAGCCTGGTTTTTATGACCGCTCTCTTAGGGGAGAGACCCCAGCTCCGCTAACACAGGCCCTTGGAAGCCTGGTGGACTCAACTCCTTCCTACTAACTAGCAGGGAAGAGTTTTATAATCCTGTTTTTGCCCAAGGAGATCAGTTTGGCTGACCAACCCCAGACAGCAGGAAGAAGGCTTTCCTGCTTCGTTGAGAATTCTGTTTGACTGTTTTATGCCTCAAGAGTTTGGTCTGAGAAGTCATTTGTGTTGTTTCAGTGTACAGTTGGTTGGTTTTTAGTGTATCCACAGAGTTGTACAGCCATCACCATAATTAATTTTAGATCATTCCATCACCCCAAAGAGAAAGCCCATCCCCATGAGCAGTCACTCACCGCCCGTGCCTCCCCCAGCCCCTGGCAACCAAGAATCCACTTTCCGTCTGCAAGGATTTGCCTGTTCTGGATGTTTCATGTAAATAGAATCATGTACTGTGTGATCTTCTAAGACATTTTCCCATTTGTTTGTCTTTCTTCCAACGATGTTTTAGAGTTTTTGTTAAATTTATTCCCAAGTACTATTCTCTTTGGTGTATTATAAATGGAATAACAGGTTTTCATAACTTCATTTTTGGAGTGTTCATTGCTAGCGTATAGATATACACAATTGATATTTGTGTATTGATCTTGTTCCCTGCATCTGACAAGGGTTTTTTCAGATGAGTAGGACCTTAGCACAAAAGTGAGGTTGCCTCTGGTGGCCCAGAATGCTGCCATCCCTGTGCTGCCCCAGGAACTGACCTAACTGTTGGAGTCACAAGGCTTTTTATGCTGATCCTTCCTGTCAAGGCAGATTAGACTGTCCCCACTCCCCGCCCTTTATGAAATCAGCCACCTCACCCGCACACACAGATGACCAGTATGGACCAGTGGCCCTGTTGAAACCAGGTTTTGAGCCATCGCCCTGCTTCCTTCCCCTTCCTTGTCCTCGGCCTTCCAGTGTTCTCAGCAACAAGGTGAAGCTCTCCAAGCACATCCGGAAAGAGAGAGCAAGCTGGCCATCTGCCACCTTTGATCTTTCACCACAGAAACGTGTCTCATTTCCCAGACATCTGCTGGTAGTACAGAGGCTTCTCCTGATTACAGATGCATCCTCTGACCAGACAAGTCCTCTGAGAAAGGGAGACCGGTCCCAGGGGCCTTAATGGGGTGGCTCCCTGACATTCTCCAGGGCCTATGAGCCCGGCACAGCTCCTGGCAAGCCGTTGGGTGAGGTGGCCCAGGGGTGGACCAGCCTTGCACTCACTGTCACTTTTGTCTCTCACCTTCGACACCCCCCTGGTCTTTCATTATCAGCACCTTCCCTGGAGCCAGCACTTCCTGCACCTCCCTGGCTCCTCCTCGTCCGAGCTACCTTATAACCTTGGTGGTTGAGCCGGGCTTTGGCATTTCGTTTTAACTTGGAAGCAGTTCCCTGGTTCTCCAGGCTCATGGCCACTGAGATGCAGACCTAGAGTCTTCCCCTGCCCTTGACCCTCTCAGCTTTGCTGCTGCCCCCACCTCTACCTCCAGGCAGGCTTGCTTTTTATCTTTGTCTTCTGCTTGTAGAGGAAAAGAGCAGTGGATTCCGGTTGAAGCCGCCAACATTGATCCACGGCCAGGCACCCAGTGCAGGTAGGTGCTCGCCTTTAAGGAGGAAAGTGGAAGGGCTATCTATCTCACACCCTTCCTGCCTCTGCAGCATCTGTTTGCACAGCTGCCTTAGGCAGCCCAGCCAGCATGCTTCAGGCTCAGCCTGCTCTCTTAGGTCATCTCAGTTACCTGGCACCTGAGTACTGAAAAGCCACTTTAAGGAGCCCATCAGACCAAGGAAATTCTCCCTTCTGTGAGCCCTCCACCACCCTGAGGGGGGGGGGGGTGGGTGGTGAGGGAGCAGACTTGGCTTGGTGTGGGGCTCTGTGCCCAGCGATAACACAGTTGGTTCAGGCCATGTCTCCAGAGCATCCCAGCCCCGGCATGCCACAGAGTAAGCCTGAGCACAGTGGCCATGATCCAGTGGCGTGCCGCTGGGGAGCAAGGCCTGGCAGTGGTGCAGAGTTGGAAGCATTCTCTTGTGCTTCTTGCCCAATTTTGTTTGGCAGATGGATTTTCTCAGCGTGGCACTTTGAAAATCAGGTGCAAAGGGTATTTTTATGTGAGCCCGAGCAGAGTCCTAAACTCAGGGGGGCTGCCTCTGGCTCTGTGCTTTCCCTGCACCATCTGTGCTTGATCCTTGAGCCCAGCACTTGAGGACAGCTGTCCCTTGGTTCCCCCTATAGCATTACTATACTCAATGAATTAATTTCCGGAAAGCCCCTGAGAGCCCATACGGGGCTGTGTGTTTCTGCCTACTGTGTCCGAGGGCCGCAGGCAAGCCGACCTCTGTTCTCAGGTCTGCCAAGCCAGAAGCCCAAGGAGCAACAGCGGAGTGTGCTTCGCCCGGCAGTGTTACAAGCCCCACAGCCAAAGGCACTCTCACAGACCGGTAAGAAATGACCCTGGTGCCCAGGCTCGAAGTTGGCCCGGGACAGCTGTGTCTCGACACAGGTGACTTTGGCCGTATCTGCTGAATGCACTCAGAAATAGAGTACTGGGGGGGCGCCTGGGTGGGTGTCTGCCTTCGGCTCGGGTCATGATCCCAGCGTCCTGGGGTCGAGCCCTGCATCGGGCTCCCTGCTCAGCGGGAAGCCTGCTTCTCCCTCTCCCATTCCCCCTGCTGTGTTCCCTCTCTCCTTGTTTCTCTCTATCAGATAAATAAATAAAATCCTAAAAAAAAAAAAAAAAAGAAAGAAAGAAATAGAGTGCTGGGGAAGCAATCCTTTAAGTCCCTGGTGAGCCCAGGGAAGACAGCAGGCCCAGGTGACCGCCATGCTTTCTGCACACGCTGGCTTCATAAAAGCTGGCTCCCTCCCGAGTGTCTCCAGTCCATCCCAGCATGTTTGCAGGCAAAACTCAGCCCTGTGTGTCTGAGAGACTTGAGGGGTCATTTTGGTTATGTGTGCAATTTCATCTGATCTGCCACCCTTAAGGCCTAACTCTTAAACCATATTTCCATGATCTCTGCATAGGTCATGGTGTTCAGTTGACCCTTAATTTCTTAATACTAATGACCTTTTCTTGTTTTCCTCTTTGTCTCTCCCTATAATTCAAAAATTCTTCATCAGAAGCAATCCAGCATCCCACATGAGGGAAATAGTATTTCTAAAGAGTTTCAAAGGAATGCTTTTTTATAAGCTATGCCAACCAATCAGCCAGATTTAAAGCTGTGCACATCATGTGATCTCAACTATTCATAGGACGAAGTGCATAGAATCAAGATGTTATGAGTAAAAGTTTGTTTTATAAAACTCATAATTGCTCCTTATTCATATATATTCTTTTTCTCTTTTTTACCTTAGTTAGCAGTATCACTTCTAAGTACCCTGAAAATTCATACAGTTCTTTGTGGAATAAGCAGTAAGATATTCTCATTTCTGTGAGGTTTTAGTTCTGGGTTCACTTGGGTTTTTTTTAATGTAAGAATTTGTGATTTTCAGTAATGATACCAGATCCTTTTCTTTAAAAAGGAGAAATTACACAATTGGTCTAAATGGTAGAAGGGAGCGCTCGAGGTCCCACACTAAACCCCCATGACCCCCCACTGTCCTCTTGTCCCAGCAGTCCCGAGCAGCGGCACCAACGGGGTCAGTATCCCAGCAGACTGCACGGGGGCCGTGACAGCGACATCACCCGACAACCCCGCACGGAGAAGTCCCTCCGATGAGGTGCGAGCACTTGAGGTGTGTCTGCCGGGCAGGGAGCACGTGAAACTTCTCGGAGCTTCGCTGAGTGTGTGGACAGTTACCTGCTCTGAGCGGCGCCAGGGTGGGCCCGTGTTAAGGCTTTCTGGATTTGCTCAGCAGTGTGCGTGCGCAACGGCAGCTGATGTCCATAGTTGCTGGAATGCCAAGGATGGTCTGTCCGCCGTTCCAGACTGCTGCACTGCCCGGGCCCAGCACCTCCCCGCTGCAGAGGGGGGCTGGCGTGCCCACGGGCACTCTGCCCGCCGGCCTCTGGGACGTCCCTAGGGCCGGAGGAATGGCTGTCATTGATGAGGTCTTGTGCCGTTTTATATGGAGAGATGTCTCCCCTCCCTGTTTGCACACCTGAACAGCTCGGGGATTCATATATGTGGGCCCGTTCTAACTGAAGAAAGCTGCCTGGGGGGTCAGCTCAGAAATTTTTTTTTTTTTTTTTTTTTTTTTGAGCAAAGTCTAGGGTTCTGCGATTTTGTAGGCCAAGAGCATGTGTTTGCTAGCAGTATTGCCCAGCCGCTGACAAATGAGGGGCATGTTCTGAAGAGCCTGCGTTTGCGGGTGGCAGAGGCAGATTTGACATGCGAGTCGCAGCACCACACCAACGCTTCCAGACACAAAGCCGGGTTGCATGTGTGTGTTTATTTCTACTCGGCCGTTTTGGCAGCTAAACTGCTGCCTGAGGTTCTGTACCCTCCACCTCCCCCACATCCCCCGGAGATGTTGGAGCGCACATGGTAGAAATGATCGGCTACAATTCATTCCCTGAGCCCACCACGCCCCTCCCCCTGACCTTCAAACCAATTAGCAGAATTAAAATTAGGAACCATCTCTGCAGCCTGCTGCTGCTGGGAAACTTGGATAGCTAGGGCGGCCAGCACAGCAGGTCCGCTGCACGGCTGTGAGCTGGAGGGACGCCGAGAAGCGGCCCGGCCCCGCCACCTCCGCATCCCTGGTGATGCGAGGGCAGGCCAGGCCTGGGCAGCACCCGCCGCCCGGGGACCCGCGCCACAGGAGAGGCGGCAAGCAGATGGAATGGCGGGAGATGGCCCATCTCGCTTCTCGGGGCTAACCTGTCACTTCTTTTCAGTTGTCGTCTTGTTTGTGTTTCTAACTAGGAGAAAGAGCCCCAGAAAAATGAGTCTAGCGATACTTGTGAGGAGGAAAACTGTGAGAAAAAAGAGCAAGTTGCACAGCAGGCGTTTGTGTTCGGGCAGAACCTGAGGGACAGAGTCAAGGTGTGTGATCAGGGGCCTGGATGAGCGCTGGCACTCATGAGTCGGTCTGTTCTGCCTCCTCCGGGTTCAACAACGGGAACTCCGCTTTTCCTTACAAAGGGTGGGGAGGTGGAGGCAAAGAATGTGCCTGTGGGCTCCTGTGGCTCGTGGTGCTTCTGGTGGCTTCTTCTTTTGCATGCCTTCCATGCTACACTGCTCCGCTCCCGGCACACTCCCTGGCAGGCTCCCTCTTTCTCCCGGGAGCAGGGGACAGGGAGGCAACCGAGCATGCCTGTCCCTGAGAACCAACGTTTTCGTAGCAAAGGAGACAGCATGATCCGATGCTTTCAGCGTCGCCGGAGAGATTGTTGTTGCCTAACTCGTGGGCTTCTCTGTCCTGGCACTAAGCAACATTTAGACCGGCTCATTCTTAGTTGTTGGAGGCCTGTCCTGGGTGTTCTAGGATACTGGGCAGCATCTCTGGCCCCCACCCTCCAGGTGCCAGGAGTATCCCCCGCCCCCTGTTGTGGCAACCAAAAGTGTCCCTTAGTAGTGCTGAGGGTTCCCTTTGGGACCAAGTCACCCTTAATTGAGAATTATTACCTTATTTTTTTAAGGTAGGGCAGGTGGGAAAAGAATTTTTCTCTCCCACTGGAGGCAATAGCCTCTGTCCCCTCCTGGCTGCCCTCAAGGGCTATTGGTGTAGCCTGGGGACTTTGAGTCGGGGGGAGAGCATCTGGCAGTGGCGGGGAGTCTGGGCTCCAGACCCCGTGCGCTGGCGCTCTGGGAGACCAGGATGGAGCAGCACTACCTTTCCAGCCACCGGGATGGAGCGTCCCTCTGTGCCATTTCCAGCAGAGCAGCTCGTCTGGCAGGAGCTCCTTTAAAAGCCTGAGAGATAGCATCAGTGGCTGCATCTGGGGACGTCTGTGGTTGTCACAACTAGGGTGTAGGTACTACTGCCATCCAGTGGGTGGAAGCTGGGGATGCTGCCCAACACCCCATGGTGTCAGGGTGGCTTCCCCACGGAGAACGATCCATCCCCCATGTCAGTGATGCTGAGGGGGAGAAACCCTGAAAAAGGGGAATGAAAGTCTCTCCAGCACATAGAAAACATCAGGCTGTGCCATTTGTTTTCTCCTTTGGTGCTCACTGTCCAACAGAAACACAAATCCCCAGGGGTGAAAAATAGGCATTGCTGTTGCATGGTTTTAGCCAAAGTAATGAGTCCCTTGGGGGCTGCTTGCTCCAGGGAGGAGGAAACAAGAGAATGAAGGGCCTTGAGATCCACCTGTGCTGGGGAGCAGGGGCCTGGCCTGGGCCGTCAGGTCGATTCTGTTCCTAGAGCTTAGGGGGACGGCTGCCTTGAAATTGGGATGGGGGCTACATCTTAAGGAGGCCCAGGGCTCACGTGATCTGTGGTTTCACAGTTACATGCCAGCTTCTTGGTGGGGGAGACTTCTTGGCACCCCGAGCTTCTGCTTTCTTACTCATAGGATGAGGTGAATGATACCCACCTCTCAGGGTTCGATGATACATTTAACAGAGCTGGCGCGGCAGTCAGCTAGCATAAAAGAAGCCCTCGAGAAACGATGCTTTTATTATATTTATAATAAACCCCTTAAAATACCAGATTGGAAGCGTTCTGTGACCTCTCATTACAGAGTATTGGTGGAAAGGGCAATAAGATGCCAACCTGAGGGTTTTGTTGTTGTTTTTTTTTTTAACAAGGTAGAAAAAGTTTCCTGATGCCTTATGAACTGTTTTTCTATCTTAACTGTTAAATGGTGAAGTTGATTACAGCCCCCCCACCTCTGTGTGTACGTGTGTACACACACACACACACGCACACACACGCTGTGCCATGTGGCCTAGGGGTAGACAGGCTGAGCTGTAAAGGTCCTGAACAGGCGGTTGTCTGAGCAGTAAGTGTTGCCTCTCTGTTCCCCAGTTAACAAATGAGAACACTGAAGTAGCTGACATGGAGAATGCCGGACACCCCAGTTCAGAAACGCCAACTGCGACCAACTATTTCCTTCAGTATATCAGCTCCAGGTGTGTGTCTTGGGCCTGGTGCCCAGCCTCAGAGCAGCCCAGGGTCATCCATCGCTTTGAGCTTGGGGCCCGGGGAGGAGGCAGCAGCTGGACCAGGAGCCAGCCTGGTCCTTCGTGGGGGGGAGGGGGAGGGCAGGATGGAGGTGGGGGTGGGAGGAAGCAGATTTCACCAGAATCCTGGATACCCCCTGGCTCCTCGCTTTATTCCCACTCTGGGCACAGCTGTGGAGTGGCCAGGATGGTGTGCTTCAACAGACAGACAAGGCAGGACCCAAGTTCTGCTTGGCCTCAGAGTGACCTCTGTCACCCGGATCTCATGCCCAGAGCAGAACCCAGCGGGCCAGTGGCTGCTTGGCTGCCTCCTGTTAACTGCCAGGTTCCGGCCTGTGGGGACCCCTTACCCTGGATTTGGGCTTGCCGGTCGTTAACACTGCTGGTGGTGGTGCTCACTAATGGCCTGGGTGCCCCATGGATATTTCAGAGAGAAAGTGTGTCCCTGCCTAGGAGACAGGCCAGCAGAGTGCATAGAACTGGGCGTGGACTTCAGAGAGGCCTGGCATGAATGGTGGTGACCTCACACTTGGCTCCCTGGACCCTGATTAGCAAAGTACATTGGATGTTGTTTTAAAGACACGTTTTTTGCACTGCAGCCTTTCCCAAATTGGGATGCACTTAGAGCTGTGACATCTTAAACTGGACGAAATGTGATGGTGACTGCAGCTCCAAGGTCATCCAGTGTTACCTGCCAGTGGCCCAGGGGTGGGCGGTGTCCCCTCCTTTGTGCAGGCCAGGGACTGGTGGGTTCTTTCGGGGAAGTAGGTGGTGCCTGGTCTGACCTCTGTGATCAGCCTCTCTCAGGCGCTGTCCTCATGCACCCCGAGGGGGACACCCGCCTCGAGGAGGTCGGGATGACAGGTGGCCGTCAGGCACATCACGTAGTGCCCGCCCACATGCAGTGGGCCCCTGGCTCCGAGGCCTGTGAGCACCTGTCGTTGGCATGCCGGGCCCCTCCCCCACAGGGGAGGCTGAGCAGTGCCCACAGCTGTGCTTTCTGCCTTACCCACTCTGACCGTGCACACGTGTGTGCAGCTCATGCGAGTGTGCCCGCTGCCTTCCCCGCTCCCACGGGGTGCCCACACCCACAGCGTGCCTTCTCTTCAGTTTAGACAACTCGACCAATAGTGCCGACACCGCCAGCAGCAAATTCGTGTTTGGCCAGAACATGAGCGAGCGTGTGCTGGTGAGTGGCCCCTGTGGGGACTGTTTTTCCTGGGGCCCCAGGGCAAGGGACATGTGAATATGGCTGCCACCTTGTCTCCTGTGAAGTGGGGATGCTTCCAGTTGCAAGAGAAAGAAGACCCAGCTCAGACTTGGGGGCAGCGTTGTTGCACCAGGAGGCTCTCGAGGAGCTGGTGTTCGAGCTTCCTGCCGTTCTTCCCTGCCAGCTAGCTTAGCCTCATCCTAGGACAGGCTTCCCCTTAAGTCGGGCCATGCTTCCTCCTGGCTGAGGCCAGCTGCAGTGATAATCATCTGACTGGAACCCTGAGCCACCTCTGGAGCCAAGGGAGTTCAGCACCCCTGTCCCTGACCGTGAGGCTGCAGCATGGAGGGGGCTTTGGGGAGGTGGCCTTGGAGGGGCCCCTGCAGAGTGTCCCAGGTGTCTCCTGCACGCACCATGGCCACGCTGTCTCCCCTCCCAGAAAGCCTGGCCAGCTTGGGATGGGGTTCTAGAATTGTTTACCTGCTTCCTTATTTTTGTTTCTTTTCTTTCCCTGTCGAATGCCTAGGATCCCTTTGTGTCCTTTGTGAGTGTGGTTAAGGAGCTGTTCCATCCCACTTCATTATTTCCGTCTTTGTCTCAGTCTACATTACATTAAGGAGCTTCCTGCAGCTTTTCTCGAGCATCAATACTGTCCTTTTCCTGTTACAACGAAGTGGTCCAAGAGCTGCCTCACACAGAGATAAACAGCTGGTGGCACGTACCTCCCCGAGATGTCGGGGGAGGCCCCACTTGGGGACTCGGAGGGCAGTTCGTCTAGAGCAGAGAAGGGTGGATTTGGGAGGGCCAAGCTGCCTGCATCGTGAGGGCGCTTTTCTGTAGGTTTTACCACCACGTGATGCTCGAGGATCGTTGTGTGGAGACGGCCCCAGGCTGGAACGCACCCCCTGCGGAGGGGTTATCTAGTCTCATCTGCCGGGTCTGGGTGGGTCCCCAAAGCCGCGAAGGAAAGGCCGTCTGCAGAAAAAAGCCCTCTGCCCGGGAGACGGTGCCAAGAGCCGCCATCCCAGCAGAGGGGCTTCCTGTTCCACGGCGGCTGACCCACCAGGAGCACCCAAACATGCTCTCCTCCCCGTGTGCTTCCGTCTCCCTGCAGAGCCCACCCAAATTAAATGAAGTCAGTTCAGATGCCACCAGGGAAAATGCAGCTGCTGAGTCCGGGTCCGAGTCCTCATCCCAGGAGGCCACCCCTGAGAAAGGTATGCTGCGGTCCCACCACCTCGTGGGAAGGGTACCACGTGACGGGCACTGTCCATCCACACCCCCGCCCAGGAGGGACATGGGCCCCAGCTCGTGGCAGCCACCGGGGCAGAATTGGAAAGCCAGGGGCACTGGTTTTCAGCAAGCAGAGAGGGGACGTGTTCATCCTAAAACAGAGAGGCCGTGGTGCTTCAGGATGACTCTGGGGATAGGGTTGTTGAGGTGGCTGTCCCTCTCTTCCTTCTTGCCCTGAGGTGGGGGAGGGGAGTTTCCCTTCGGTGCTCTGTGGGTGGACTCTCTCTGCTGTCCTCCTGTCCTCTACCGAGTGAATGGCAGTGGGAGATCTGGAGCCACGCTGGCTATGAGCTCCCAGATGGTCTCCCCACAGCATCCGGGGCCAGATTGCTGTTATGTTTGGGGTCCGTTCCACATCCCAGGAGCCGGCACCCTTGAGGCAGAGCCAACCCCTTTGTTCTGTCTCCTGTGACGTACACACACCCACCCACCCACACACACACACACACACACACCGGCAAATAAATAGTCAATGTCGTTTAGCTAATAACATTTCAGAGTCCCTGGCCGAGTCAGCAGCCGCCTACACCAAGGCAACAGCACGGAAGTGTTTGTTGGAAAAAGTGGAAGTCATCACCGGGGAGGAGGCGGAGAGCAACGTGTTACAGGTGAGGCGGGCCTGGCCGGGGGCATCTGGCTCCGGTGGGCCTCCTGGCCCTCAGGTGGTGGTGTGAGAGGCCAGCCGTAGCCCCCAGCCTCTCTGTGCACCACCCTCCGGGACCTTGTGGCGGGGCCTCCAGAGTTCAGTGAGCGCTAAGGGCCTTCGAGTCTCGCTTTCTTTTTGAGAAGGATCTGTTTTTGAGGCATTCTCGATAGTTCTGGGAGAAACTGTTGTAAATGCACCCAGAATGAACGGCTGTGATTGGTCACACTGGCACCCCATGGTGTTTTATTAGGGAACCGGGATCCCAGATGCACCCCAAACTTGTCCTGCCTTTCCTCTGCATCTTGGGGCAACACGTCCACTTCAGTGGGCCTCATTCGTCTGCTTTGCGTTGTTGTGTGCAGGCATGTGTGTCCGTGACCTGCATGTGTAGAGCACTGGAGAGTTTCTGATGTGGCATTTTTAGAAGTACTACTGCTTCTGCCCACTCAGCACTGCTGTGAAATCCATACGAGCAAAGAGAGTGACTTGGTAAAGATCTGCACACTCTGAAGGGCCAGGCGTGGTCTCTGTTGCGTATTCTTTTTTTATCTATAGAACAGCTTTATTGAGATAGAACACGTATACTATGGAATTCCCTCTTTGAAGTGTGTGTTCACGTAGTTATGCTGCTGCCACCGCCATCAGAAAAGAACATTTTAGTCCCCAGAAAAGAAACTGCCATCGGCAGTCATCTCTCATGCCCTCCCCGGCCCCTGCGAGCCCCCTTCCCATCGTGGATGAGCCTGTTCTGGACGTGTCCCCATGTGGACTCACACCCCGTGTGTCCTTCTGTGTCTGGTTCCCTCCCTGAGCCTCGTGGGCTTGGGGTCCATCCCCGGGGCCGCACCGAGTGACGTGCGTGGAGGGACATTCAGGTTTCCAGCTTTTAGCTAGTATGAATCGTGCTACCGTGGACATTGTGTACAGTCTGGTGTGTGCAGATGCGTGGCATTTCTCTTGGGTAGATCTTTAGGAGTGGGGTGTCTGGGCCGCACGGCGATTCCATATGTAACACTGTGAGGGACACGCTTCCGCGGCAGCCGCGCCATGTGTCGTTCCCCCCCAGCCGTGTGTAAACTGACTGTCCACCAACCGCCCGCCCCCCGCCCCCCCGGGCACCTGCTGTTACCTGGCTTGTGAGGCCATCCTAGCGAGTGCGAGGTGGTATCTCATGGGTATCTGGTTTTTATCTTCGTTTCCTTCCTGATTCTTTCATGCTCCTCTGACAATGTAAAATTCATCTTAGGTGGAGGACAGGACACAAAACTGGCCAAGGGCTAGATGTGCCCCCTGGGCCATCGTTGGCTGACCCCTACCTAGTAGTTCACTCAGGCTAGATCGAGGCTCCCCAGAGTTTGTCCACACCAGTGTCCACCCAGCCAGGGCCCCGCTTACCCAGAGGGCCGCCTTGTGTTCCAGATCCAGTGTAAGCTGTTTGTCTTTGACAAGGCCTCGCAGTCGTGGGTGGAGAGAGGCCGGGGGCTGCTCAGGCTCAACGACATGGCATCGACTGATGACGGGACGCTCCAGTCCCGACTAGGTGAGCTGCAGTGCGGGGTCTGTGGAGAGGGCCCGGGATGGCACAGAGTTCCCAAGGCCCAGGAGGGCAGGATCCCCACGCAGGTCCCCACTGGAGAGCCGCAGCACTGGCGGCCTATAGGCGCAGGCCCTATCCCAAGGCTCTCGCTGCCAGCTCTTCTGTGACTCTCCTCTTTGTGAGTGTGACAGTAGATGAAACAACCCAGAGCTCTTGGACTTGTTTTCTAACAATCAAAGTGCTGGTGGTTTTATGGTGGAAAGGGAAAATAAGAAATCAAACAGCCCTATACAGCCTGTGGTCCTTGTCATAGACCTTCCCCCAGCCTGTCCCAGCTACTCCACGTGTGCTTTGGAGGTGGGCCCATTGGGCACAGAGGGCTTGGGGAGTGGACACAGGGAGATCTGGTCAGTTGGAGCCCAGGACCCCACCCCGCAGCCTCCCTGAGCTGGCCCATGCTGCTCCGTCTGGGGCCATCTGGGGGCCCAGGTTGGGATGGGGAGAAGTGGGCTGGTGGGAAGACAAGGTGTCACCATGTCCACAAGGTCAGGGCACTTGCGGGGAGGATGAGCTCTGATAAACCAGGCAGGCTGACGGCGGCCTTGGGTAGATGTGATGTGTACTTCCAGAGAAGGAAGAAGGTCTCTACCCTCTTTTTCTCCACCATATGTTGCTCTCGGTCTGTCTTTGTCTCCCTCTTGGGAGCTCTAAGCAGCCATTGGGCCTCAACCTTTTTTCTAAGAAAACTGCAGAGTAGGGGCTGGGCTCGGCCTGTGAGTGGGGCCAATCAGGGGGCATCAACTTCTAGACAGTGTGTCATAAAGAAAGTGCACACAGCCCCCAAATGTCACTCTCTGGCCCTGCCTCCAACCTAATCATCCCCCTTCCAAGGGAGCCACCATCCTGGCATCTCCCCGTGATGGACGTGGCCATGGGGGAGCTGGGTGGTACAGGGCTGGCCCCCCCGTGTGGGGCGTGCTGTGGCTCAGCAGACTGGTGGGCAGCTTATGTGGACCTTGCGAGAATTGTGGGATTTCACCCTTGTGGTGTTTTCATTCCAGAATGTGTCCGTTCTCATAGCTGGCTGTGGGGTGGGGGTCAGGGGCCAGGGCTGAGTGGCCTTGTCCGTTGCAGTGATGCGGACCCAGGGCAGCTTGCGACTGATCCTCAACACCAAGCTCTGGGCCCAGATGCAGATCGACAAGGCCAGTGAAAAGAGCATACGCATCACAGCCATGGACACTGAGGACCAGGGCGTGAAGGTTTTCCTGATCTCAGTGAGTAGCCCTGGGGCCGGGACAGGCTACTACCGACCTCTTGGGGAAAGGAAGTGCCTGAACAGAGCCCTGGACAAGCGCTGTGCCCTCCTGAGCTCCCACAGGAGGGAGGTTCCCGGGCACACCCAGTCAGGCCACTGTGGGCCTGCACTAAGTCCTGCCCCTCTGGGGGGTGCTCTGTGGTGCAGCGGTCGGCACTCTGAGGGCGTGGGCCAGGGAGCGAAGAGGGAGGCCTCTAGGCCGGCCAGTGTCCAGACGGATCGGTGGCAGAGAGACAGGAGTGGGCCTGCATCACCGAGTGCCATCCCAGCTGCAAGCTCTGCAAGCCGCTGGGAAGCACGGTCCCTGGGGCCCCAGGAGCTTCAGTCTGCTGCCCGTGAGCTTGTTGAGGAGAGAGGGTCGGGCTCTGGCCCAGACACAGCCCGGGGCTTGTGGCTTCCACCACAGGAGGGCAGCAGCCACCCTGACCAAGAGATCTTCCAACCCACCACTTCCCTCTGCCTGCCCCAGGCCAGTTCCAAGGACACGGGCCAGCTGTATGCAGCCCTGCACCACCGCATCCTGGCCCTGCGCAGCCGTGTGGAGCAGGAGCAGGAAGCCAAGATGCCTGCCCCTGAACCTGGGGCAGCCCCGTCCAACGAGGACGACAGTGACGAGGACGTCCTGGCTCCATCGGGGGCCACTGGAGGCGGTGAGCCAGTGGTCCCGGCCCTGGAGGGGATGGGGAGCCTGACCCAAGGGGCTGGGGCTCCACCCAGGGTGGGGACCTGACGGTGAGGCCGCTGCTTCCCAACAGGTGCTGGCGAGGAAGGGGAGGGGCAGACGGCCGGAAGCACATAGCGCCGGGAGCCGGCTGCCCACGAGCCTGCTGCTTTGTCCGTCTGCCCGCCCGCCCGCCCCGCCCCGCCAGCAGTGTGGAGGCGCGGGGCTCGGGAACCACACTCCCCGCTGGGTTGGCCACAGTTCGGATCCGCATGTCCCGTTCAGAAGCAGACTCGGGAACTGCCTGAATGTGGTTTGGGACACGAGACCTCATCATATTGATGAGCAAAACGAAAAAGAACATTTCTTCCCTCCCCTCCTTTGAATTGAAATGGCACATTAAGACTTGTCACGGCTTCTCACTGGGACTGGGACACCTTGTTTCTTCACCCCTCTCTCCTCATGTCCCCGGCCTCTCTGCCGCCGCCCATCCAGGCCACCGGGTCTGTCCACACAAGTATAAACACTGGGCCTGCTGGATGCTCTGTTAACTACCGTATTTCCAGTTTCCCACACTCTGATTTGGGGCTTATATTTTTAGATTTTTTTCCCCAAAGGCTTTGTGTTTGGTTTCTTAGGTTCAGACTCTCCTGTGCATTGAGTGGGTGCAGCTCTGTCCTGGGCCACATCTTCCTCCTCCCTCCCGGGCTCCTGGCCTCTGTGCTGGGGTGGGAGTCAGCCACCCCCTCACCTTGTTCCCCACCCAGGGTTGCTCCAGGCCCAGTCGTGGGGTATTGAGGTGTTGGGCCCCAGACCTGGAAAGAGCTTATCTAAAAAAGGGTCACTGGACCTGGGTGGGTCTCCACCCACCCTCCTGCCTTTTCCCATCATGTCGGTCACCCATCATCTGGCACCGAGAGGCAAACCTTCCTGCTGCTGGCCATTCCTTGCCCAGCCCTGGACGACGTCACTGCCCCAAGACCATCCAGGACCAGGGGCCCCTGTGAGAGGCAGAGGGGGACCTCAGCAGGACCTTTGAGGAGGGGGCAGGGGGCTGGTTCCAGGCAACCGGCCGTCTCCCACACTCACAGCACACACAGGAGTGGGTGCCGTGCCCACCACCACCCTGGAGCATGGCCAGGAGCCAGCCGGGCTTCACCCACCTGGGGCGGCCTGTGAAGAAGGGCCCTGTGCACAGGGCTCCGAGGGATTTCCAAGCAAAGTGCCCAGCCCCGCCCTCGGGGTGAGCGGAAGGCTTGTCTCCACAGCTGTGCCACCCACACCTCGGGTTGGTTGTGTGCAGCGTGAGCCTGAGCCATGGGAAGACACCAAAGGCCCTCCCAGCAGATCCAGTCACACTTCTCTGCTTTAAGCCTTAGCCAACTAGTGACAAGTAAAACCAGATAATGCCCATGTGTTTTGGAACATTTATGTAAGATTGTCATATGAAATGTATTTGGGAACTACATTAAAACTTTTAACTAAAACCCTGGCCTCCTGCATGCCCCAGGGGCCTCAGGAAGCCAGACAGACTGGCCAGGAACAGCCTCCACGTCCCAGAGCCACCTGGCCTGTCTGCGGGCCCCTGGCCCCTGCCCCACACTCCACGTCCGGGCAGGTGACCAAACTTGGCTGCCTTCCAAGACTGGCCGCCTCCCTGCTGAGCTTTGCTTCACAGAAGAGCTGTTTGCTTCCCTGCCAACAGTGGCTCCTGGGGGGAGGGGGGAGGGGAGTCTGCACAGAATGGACAGGGAGGGCCTTGCTCCCTGGGGTCCTGAACCAGTGACCCATCCTTGGAAACTTTGTCCCACTTGTACCTGGTGGCCAAGCCGGGTCCTCGGAGACCTGATCCAGCCAGTCCTGGGGCCTCCACCTCAGGGGCTGCCTGGCTGGAAGCCCAGGTGAGAGAGGACCTGGTTCAGGGGGGGCCAGGGTGGGGGTCCTACGCTACGGGGGCAGGGCTGGCTGAGCAAGTGTGCACAGCTCACAGCTGCCAGGCGCTGGTCATCATGGCCACAAACTCCTCGTCTGTGTCCACGGAGGCGCTCACGCCGCTGTAGTAGTCCTGGAATTCAGCCAGCGTGACCTGGGGGCAGACAGGCTCTAAGTAGGGACCAGAGACCCGGGCAGAGGGGGTGGGGGGTGTCTGTGGGCACCCACCTGCCCGTCCTTCTCAGAGGAGTCAAAGTTGTCCAGGAAGTGGCGGAGCACCTCCTCCTCGGTCCACTCCCCACTTCGCACCTTGGGGTGGGCGCGGCCACTGTACACCCCCCGGAGGTCATCCACGGTCACCACACCATCCCCGCTGCGGTCCAACTTGGCAAACGCAGCTGCAATGACCTCCTCCCGGGCCTGGGACATGGGGGGCTGGAAAAGAGCAGGTCATGACTGGGGGGGTCTAGTGCGGAGCACCAGGGCTTCCAGGCATCCAGGGTCAGCACTGACCTCGACAAGCCCACGGAGAGCTCGTCAGCACCCCCCAGACAGCAGGGCAAAGGGCCTCACCCGCAGGGCCCTCAGGAACTCCTCCAGGTCCAGCATCCCGCTGCCATCACGGTCCCAGCGCCTGCACACGCCCTCCGCTTCGGCAGTGTCCAGCACCAGCCCCAGCTCAGCCAGGCCCCGCTGGAGTTCCCCCGAGTCCAGGGATCGGCTCCTGTCCCGGTCCAGGCGGCGGAAAAACCTAAGGGGCGTGGGGTGCAGTTAAAAAGTGGCCCCTGGGGCTGGGGGTCAAGAAGATTCAAGGAGACAGCTCACCTGGCCAGGCCCTGGATGCCCAAGGCCCCTCGGGACAGGCACTGTGCCCGGAGCTTCTCCACAGTGGCGTCCGCAGCATCCATGCCGGGTCAGACTGGCTGGAGGAGAGTTCGAGGAAGGACTCCGACTCGGCTGACCAGGCTGTGCTCCGGTGCCGCAAGCCTGCCCTGGCCAGCTACCTGCTCACCTGGCCTTCAACTGTACTGGAGCCCAGACGGCCACTCCTCTGGCTCCTGCCCACTCTGCCCAGCGTTGGCAGTGCGTCCTGCCTAGCAGGCCTGTTGCTAAGGGATGGTGGCTCAGGAGACTGGGAGGGGCCCCGGCCGTAACCCACACTGTGCCAGTGCCTCACAGCCCCGGGGGGCAGGGGGGCAGGGCCGAGAGGGACAGGCCCGTGTTTTGCTGACGCCACTGCCCACCCTCTGCCCTGCTCACCCCCAGCCTCACAGTGCCCAGGTCTGGGATAGAGCCAGACCCAGATGGGGATTGGCGGTGGTCCCCTCCCTGGCCACAAGAAGGAGGGGTGGGCGACAGCCCTAGATGGCCAGAGTGTCCCTGACGGAGAGAGGCAAGGCCATGCCGAGGAGGCTTAAGACCCAATTCCTCCCTGGGCTCCGCGGGTCCCCTTGCCTGGTGTTCAGACCAGTGTGGCTGAGCCAGGACGCAGCAGTCTTACAGACTGTTTCAGCATTAAGTCAGACAAAGCAGTTCCTGGTAGTTATTCAGGGGCCAGTGTGGGATTTCTGTCGATGCGGGTCTTTCGGTGGTTGGTTTCTCAGTTCTCAAACAACACTTGGTGGTTTTGCTCCCCTAACAAGCTGGGGGAGCCAGGGGACTGCAGTACCAAGCGAAGAAGTGGCCCTGGCCCCCGACGCCATCCAAGAAGCACCAAGGCCATCATCACAGAAGGCCTCTAATCAAGACATCGACTAAGCGTTACACCGAACGACAGGATTGAAAATGACGCTGGATTTCCCAGGGCCTAAAACGTGGGCCCCGTTTGGGGACCCATCTGCTGCAGAGACCCAGAGGTCACCAGAGGCTTTCCAAAGCCTGGACTTAGACACTGTCAGTGTTAGGAGAAACTGCAGTGACATTCTGGCGGCTCACTGCAGTCCATAACTTTTCGAGTAGGCAGGGAACTACTCCATTGTGTTTTTCATGAGGATTACAAAAATCACAGTTTTTTCCATAAAAAGTGTAAAATATAACCACAGTTATTGTAACTCTGTTTTGGCATCTCCTCATCTTGAAGAGAATCAGAATGTTAACAGTAACCCCTCCAGAAACTGGAAGTGGCCCAGGCCCTCCCGACCCCAAGGCCAGTTTACTTCACCCCCCTGAGCCTCACTTTCCATAGCTATAAAATGGGGCCAGCCTGGGCGGCAAAGACTAGACACAAGCGCCTGTGACTGTAACTGTGTCTCCCCGCCCAGCAGGGCCCCACCAGGCCACCTCTCCAGCCCCCACACAGGAAGAAAGGAGGAAGGACCAAGGCCAGGAAATCATCTGATTTATTCTTAAGCTCAGACAGGCCTCAACCTGCCTTCTCTTCGTACAAGCAGCCCCCCTATTCATCCAGAGAAAATGGGGCCATTGTTACTGCACTGAGGGGTCACTGTTAGATGCCAGGCGGGCAGGCTGCACCATCCTGAGGGCTGGGGACGGACCCCGACCTTTCCAGGCCAAAATGGGCCCTGCCCCTCAGTGGTTCCTGGTGTGACAGTTCCCTGAGTAAGGAGGTGGGAAAAGGGCTAGCGTGGGACCAGGCTGGGCACTTCGGCTGGGCAGAGAAAGGCACAGGGTTCCCTGGTTTGATTTAAAAAATAATAGCACCCTGAATGTCTCTGGCCAAGAAGGGCAGCATAGAAATAAGGAGTTTAAAAATAAATTCTCTAGGGAATATAAAAAGGAGCGGGCTGCTTGCTACAAAAGCTGAATTGGCTGGGGCCTCATCAGATGTGCTAGGGGCCCCCGGCTCCCTTCAGGGCCCACAAACCCCATCCTGTTCCTACCGAGGCCCCAGGGTGCACCTGGCGCTGGCGATGAAGAAAAGCCCTGCCTCAGGTAGCTTACACTCTGATGACAGGTCGTCCCGTGAAGAAAACAGAATGGGTAAGAGCAGGGGACGGGGTTACTTCAAATAAGGTAGGCAGGGAAGGCCCCCCCCTGAGGAGGTGACATCTGAGCAAAGATCTGAGTGACAAGGAACGGGGCATGTGACATCCGGGGGAAGAGCAGTCTAAGCAGAGGGAACAGCCAGTGGAAAGGCTGAGGGATGCCTGAGTTTTCCCTGGGGCAGCACAGCCTGGCTGCCAGCATGTCAGCATGTCTCACACGCACGCTCTCCCTTCTGGGTTAAACGTTGAGGGAAGGACAGAGTTAGGGGAAAGAATCTAGGATTCAAAATCCATCTTCATACAGCCACTGCAAAACAGCACAAGGCTTGAGGTTCCCAATTCTGGTCTGGGATGAAGAATAAGAAAAAGCTTTAGCCTAGGATGAAGGATGCTTCAGAAGGAACGAAGATCAGGGCAGGGGGAAAAGGGGGAGAAAAACTTGATACATCTGCCCCCACGAGCAAGAGAGATCTCAAACTCAGATGCTTCAGGGGCCAGACATCCAGCCCTAAGAGAGATGAGGGAGCCAACTGGACCTCACACTTTGGCTAAAGAGGGTATCCTGAGCTCAGATCTAAGCAGGCATGGCCAAGACTGAAGCCAGAAATCCGAATTTTTGTGAAATGTTGCCAATTTTTCAACAAGTTGATTGATGTAAAGTTTTGTTTAAAAAACAAAAAAACAAGGGGCGCCTGGCTGGCTCAGTTGGTAGAACATGCGACTCTTGATCTCAGGATTTTAAGTTCAAGCCCTACATTGGGTGTAGAGATTACTTAAAAATAAAATCTTAAAAAAAAAAAAAACCTGTCCAGGCTAACCATATGCCTTTGGCCCTTGGGCGGCCTGTTTGAAACCTATGACTTTTTAGCAGGTTTGATGCTTGGAAAGGATTATGGCTCTGCCACGGGGTCCCCTCTGGGACACTGGTGACCCCCGAGGACACCCACAGCAGTGGAACTCTGTCTCCATTGTGAAATCTGTGCTCCAGGCTCACACAGTGGTCCCAAACACTGCAGGCTGGAGGTGGTCCCTGTCCTCCTCTTCCCCAGTACTGTTGGCAAGGCGTGGACTGGGCCCACCAGGGAGCGGGTGGCTGGGGTCTCTGGTTGGCAGGGGCCCCAGGCGTTCAGCCTCCGCCAGGGCAGCCAGCAGCCCGGCCAGGGGTGGCCGGCGACGGCAGATGTCCTGCAGCAGCTCCGCCCGGGGCTGCAGCTGCCCAATGAGCTCATCCCTCTGACGCACAGCAGCCTGCAGGCTGTGGACAGTGGCCTCGGAGGTCAGCAGCTGCTCCTGGAGAGCGGCAAGCTCACTGGCAGAAGGCAAGACAGGGCAGTTATGGTACTGCGGGGACCAGCGATTCTCCTCCTCCCTGCCCCTGACTTCCCGGGGCTCCCCATCACCATCAGGATAAATGCCAAGCTCCCCACCACTGCTTCAAGACCCCCTTGTTATGGACTGAATGTGTCCCCTCAAAATCTTACGTTGAACCCCTAGCCCCCATCCCCAGTGTGATGTATTTGGAGATGGCGCCTTTGGGATGAGCTCATGAGGGTGGGGCCCTCATAGAATTAGTGCCCTTGTGAGAAGAGACACCAGAGAGTTTGCTCTCTGGCCATGTGAGCACACAGCAAGAAGATGACAATCTGCAAGCCAGGAAGAGAATCTGTCACCAGGAACTGAATCTGTCGGTTGGACTTTCCAGCCTCCAGAACTGTGAGGAGAAAATTTCAGTTGTTTAAGGCCCCCAGCCTGTGGTATTCTGTAATGGCAGCCAAAGAAGACGAAAACTCTCTAATCGCTCCCCTGCAATTCCCTTGTCCCCTACATCTTTTCCTATTTGTTGTTCAGCTTAGATGGCTCCTCTTCCAGGAAGCCTTCCATCTAGGCCCACTCAACCCTATGTGCCCTTCCATCACGACCCCAACTACCCCATGTTGTAACTGCCTAGTGATGTGCCTGCCTAAGGACTGTGCTAGTAGATCTCACTTACGTGCTCTAGCGCCCAGCACAGTGCCTGACACACAGTAGGTACTCAGTAAAGATGAATGAATGAATCCAACCAGCTCCTTTCCCACCTGGGCCCCTGACCTCCCTCCTCCCTGGGCGCTTGTCTCATCCCTTTCAATCCTCAGCACCTCTTCAAAACTAGAGGGGTTCTTCAAAAACGGCTGGTATGATCCCATCCTCCCCTGCTCCAGAACCTGCCATGGATCTCAATGCCTAGGAGGTCGGTGACCCTGCACCACTCGGAAAGAGCCGATTTTGCATTGTGGAAAAATGGGTTCTGTTTTAAGTTAGAAATCCGCACTTGTGTGACACCTCTTAACTTAGCATGCTGGTGACTAATTCGAGGTTTTGGGTGTTCTTTTTTTTCAATCCCACCAGTAGTCCAGCCTACACGTGACTGCACGCGGTTCCCGCGCCTCTCCTCCCCTTCCCATCTCCGCTCCGCCTCCGCCCACCTCCCAGAAGTCCACCCGGCCGGCCCCGGGCCTCACCAGTCCTTGGCGCGGCCCAGCTCGTCCAGGGCAGCGCGCAGCTGCTGGTCGTGGCGAGCCAGGCGCTCGGCCTGGGCGCGCACTGTGCGCTCCGCCGCGTCCAGCCGCGCCTCCAACTCCGCGGCGCGCCGGTGCACAGCCGCCAGGTGTGCGTTCGCCTCGCGGATCTGCAGCGGCTGCGGCGCCGACATGGCCCCCGCGCGGTCCCCGGCGGCCCGGAACCGGCCCCGGCCCCGCCCCTTGGCCACGCCCCCGATGGACACCGCCCCCAGAAGCCCCCCTCAGGACCTCGGCGCGATTGGCCGCGGCAGGATGGGTCGCGCCCTCCTCAAACCCAAACACCCTCACTGGTCCCGGCACCTCAAGACTCCGCCCCTGAGCCCGGCTTAACTCTAAGATTGGCCAAGGTTCTGACAAACCACGCCCCCAGGTGGGCCTGAGTCCTCGATGGCCGCTCCCTGTTCAGGCTCCCGCAACGGGACTGGTCACTCCTTCGAGACAGGCCCCGCCCCACTGAGAAACCAACACCAGCAGCATTGGTCCGGGTCCTGCGGCCCAGCAAGCCTGGCCACGCCCCAGGCTTCGCCTCTCTCAGATCCACCCGGAAGGCCACGGACACGCCCCTTAAGCAAACGCACAGCTCCGGTTCGGCCAAGTCCTTTTCGGGGCGTGTCTTCGGCTCTGGCCACGCCCCCAAGTCTAGCGCAGACCTCCTCCGTCCCAGGGCTTGGACAAGCCAGCCACAAGGTGAGCACGACTGGCGTCCCGTAAAATCCTAGCCCTGGGATCGGTACCTTTGCCCGCCCTCGAACCTGGCCACGCCCCAAAATAGTCGCACGCGGTTCAGACCCCCAGACTCACGCAGATCCTGGTGCTGGGAGTGGTCACATTTGCGCTGTGCCCCGCCCCAGGGTTACAACTTGCTCCTATCAAGTGGAGCCCCGCCCCGCGCCCGAATCTGCGCTTGGAGATAGGCCTAGTACCGGTCATAGTCCCGCCCCTGGATTAGGCCCCACCTCCGGGCGTCAACGTTTCCTAACCTAGGACCTTCTGAGTTGGAACTAGTGAGATCTGCCTTCACTGATTCTGGCTCACCTCAGTTTCTCGTTCTTGAAGGCGGCTGGGGGTGCACGCGCGCTTCCTTTACGCCAGTCCCGACTCGGCGCGTGCGCGCGACCGTGTCTGTGTCCGCGATGTTCAATAAAGTTGCACGCTTGTTGTCGGCCCCTCCGCACGAGAGGTTGCGCGCGCCGCCCAGGAAGTCTCGCGAGAACGAGCGGCGGCTGCCCTTGGACACTGGTGCGGGGCCAGGGGTGTGCAATCATGGCGCGGACGCTTCTTCAGCAATACCTGGACATACCCGATGGCACCGAGTGCCACCGCAAGACCTACGCCAGTACCACAGTCAGTGGTGCCGCTGGTGAGCACCTCGGCCGGGTCCCGAGGGCAGAGGGTGCAGGGAGGTCATAGAGTCGCTGGGGGCTGTCCCAGGGCGTCCTGGGGCGCTGGGGATCTCGCAGGTGCCGTAAGGTTGTCGCCGGGATGTCTGGGGCGGCCCTGGGTCGCTGGGGGAGCTCTTGTACGGGATAGACTTTGTGGGAGTGTCGGACTAATTCAGAGGGCGCAGGAAGGCGACAGGGTCACTGGGAGCTGTCCGAGGGGGTCGCAGGAGCGCTGGGTAGCTCACGGGGTGACACGTCGTCGTGGGGATGTCTGAGGCGGCCTTGAGGAACTCTTGTGTGAAGGGGGTCCGACAGGGTTGGAGGGCACAGGGAAATGGTACACGTGACAGGGTGGCCACTGGGGTCGTCAGAAGCGGTTGCTGGGGGCTGGGATTTGGGGGTTACTGTTGAAGCTAACCCCAGGCTCTGGGGACGTCTTTGAGTGGCAGAGGGCCTTTACTGGGTGTCGAAGGAGCTGGGGATTCATGAGACTTAACAACAGGGTAAGTTGAGGTTATTTGGGGGGATCATGGCTGTGTCTCGGGGGTACAGAAGTTTGAGAACGTTCCAGTGTGAAATGAAGTCTTTTTAGGGTTCAGGAGAGCGGGTTAGGGGTATCTGAAGCTTTTACTGGGACCACCAGAGGGGCCGTAGGGGTGCGGAGGAGGTCACAAGTGAGGTGGGTCAGGGGCTACTATAAGGGTAGCCTTGGGAGGGCATAAGGTGACTATGGCCCTAGCACTCTTCTGCATGGGACACCTCAGCATCTCGCCCCTTCCAGTCTCTCTTGAGAAGTATGAATGATGGTTTGGGCCACCTCCATATCTCCAGCTCCTGAAACGAGGCCTGGCAGAAGTTGAGTCTCCACTGGGAGGCATTTGGATTAAGGTAAACCTAATCATCACTCCATTTTCTGAGATCAATGATTATCGTGCCCATTTCTCAGAGGTGGAAACTGAAGGTCACAGAGGTGTGTTAACTATCCCAGGGTCTTTTCAAGCCAGTATGCAAATCCACGTCTCCTGATCTGCTCCTGAGGGTGGCTGGGGCAAGGACTGTGCGTGCAGGATCCTTGTGGAGGGGCCTCAGGAGAGAGGGTGGATGGGGAGTCCCTGCGGATGAATGATGTGGAGTCTGCTTGAGTGGCGAGTTGTTGGGACAATAGAGGTGCGTGGCAGGGTCTCTAGGGGGCCTTTGGAGAGGGTTGCGCAGTGCGGGGTTGGATCACTGTAGGGGGATCTTATTCGGGCACATTCTTAGAGGGAAATGCTGACATTGGGGAATGCCTGGCAGGACTTTGTGGAGGCTCATGGTTGTGTCTAAAAGGGAATTAAAGTAGGAGGAGGGGGTCGCCTGAGGGGCACATGGGGCCTTCAGGGAGATAAGGGGAAGTGGATGGTTTAAGGGATTTTGAATCTGAGAAAGACATTAATGTTGGTGTTTCTGAGTGGGAGTGCACATGTGATCACAAATGCACAGTCCACGGGGATGGACTGACATCTCAGGAGGCTGTTGGGGGAGACTGAGCACATCTCAGGAGTGGGGTGCTGCTGAGAGTGAGGAGCCTCCAGGGTGGGGGCGGGGGCTTGCTGAAAGGTCTTTGAGAGAGTGTGGGTGGGAACTTTGACAGAGGTGCCATGTCAGGCAGTCACTGAGAGACTCGGATTTGTGGTGGTCTCCAGCTCCTGTGAGCCTTCGAGGGTATCGGTGGGTGGGTGGGGGGGTGTGGGTGTGTGTGTGTGTGTGTGTGTGTGTGTGTGTGTGTGTTGCTTACTTCGCCCGCCTACATTCTCTCTCACTGGCCAGCTCCACTCAACGTGCAGGACTTGGCTCCTGGATCCTCCCTTACCTTCCCTGCCTCCCCTCAGGCCTCACTGAGAGAACACTCTTGTTTCCTGTCTGGCTTTCCTGAGATGGTGAGCCCCCGGAGGGCAGGGAGCCTGGCCCCCTAGCATCAGCACCCTGTGGGCACACAGTAACCCTGAATGAATGAATGAATGAATGTATGGATGGATGAAGGCACCTAGTAACTCTTGTGGATGGGTGGCTGGATGAGTGAATTAGGGCATACAGCAACTGAATGAATGTGTGAGTGAATGAAGTAGCTGGATGGATGGAAGAATGAATGAATGAATGAATGTGGGCACACAGTGCCTGTGAAAAGGAATGACAACCTGCAGTCACTGTGAAGGAAGGAATGAATGAATGAAGGGTCAAGTGTGCACTGTGTCTGGAGGTCACTGCTGGAGGCTGAGAGAGAGCCAGGAGCAGGTGGGAGTTGGGAAGGGGACCTTTTGCAGGGTGATGGGGGGCCATAGAAAGGTCCGAGTCAGTAGAGATCCTCATGTGCTGGGGGTCGCAGGATGTGGGGAGGGTGGGCTGTGGCAGGTCACCATATTGGATGATTGCTAGGAGACAGTTCATCCACTCCCAGTTCTAGGATTTCTGAGGGGATTAGGATGGCGGGGGCACGGTCTGTGTGCAGCGTGGAATGTGAGCTGGCAGACAGGTTGGGACGGGCTGGCCCTGGGAGGTCCCTATGGTGACTGGGCCATGCGGGGGTTCTGTAGGGAGAGGAGGGGTGTGTTGTCTGCCCTGAGCAGGGTCAGCTGGAGGATCCGGGGAGCTCCGTGTTGGGCGGTTCCTGGTGATTCGGAGCCAGCCAGGTGGGCCCTGGCCTGCCCCCCCACTGAGGAGGGTCTGGTCGGGGCAGCTGCCCAAGGCCTTGCCTTGGCCTCACCCCAGACCCACACAGCAGCCTGGGCCAGTGTTTGCTCAAGATGCCCCAGGATAGAGCCTCGGGCCTCACCACCCACCTGGCGCTTGGGTCCAGGCCCAGCCCCTGCCGGGCCCCTCATGCGCAAGAGCCAGTGTCGGGCAGGGAGGCCAGGGCGAGCAGAGATGGAAAAGCTGACCAGAGTGGCGAGGCCGGGTGGGCGGGAGCGGCTGCTGAGCCAGCCAGGTGTGAGGGATGGGCCCAGGCCCAAGCTGCGAGCGGGGGGGGGGGCCCAAGGGTGACGAGCAGCAGGCCTTGGCAGCCCCGGGAGCCAAGTCTCCACCAAGGAGCCCTGGGCCCCATGGGAGAAGGCAGCCTTGGCTGGGAGTGGGGAGCAGGGCCTGGGTGCCAAGCCCTGTGGGGCTCAGCTGTGCTGTCTGTGCTGGCACGTGAGGCCAGAGAGCAGCCCAGCCACTTGGGCCCTGGGCCTGTTCTCGTGTCCACTGCAAGCTGGACCGGTGCACTGTGGAGAGCGAAGGCGCCCCGGGCAGGCCTTGGGCAGGCCTTGCGGAGGGAGGCCTGGGGCCCGGAGGTAGGGGTGAGAGCCCAGGGTTTGGAGCAGTAGACTGGGTTGGAATCCCACTGTGGCTGCTCAGCAGCTGTGGGGCCCTGGGTAAACCTCAGAACAGTCCCTTCCTGGGTGAAGGGGTGGTGCTAGGAACCTCCTTCTGGGTGCCATGGGGACAGAGGGAGAGAGGGTTTCTCTGATAGTGGAGGGGCCTGCCCCCCGCCAGGGCCCCTCCTGGTCTCAGCGCCCAGGTCCTGGTCCCACACACCTCACCCTCTCTGGTCCCACAGGCCTGATCTTCTCTGCCTACAGTGTCACGCTCCAGCCCCCGGACACCTTCCTAGAGGGAGTGGCGAGGACAGGGCGATACACATTTACTGCAGGTGAGCGAGCCTTGGCTTCTCCTTAGGGGCCCTCCTGGCACCGGCCCCTGGGCCCTGACTCAGCGCTCACCCCCACACCCGC